TGTCTTAGATATGCATTCCATAGTGGTCAGTATTTGAAACAATTTCTAAGTTTAAAGACTTATAGTAATTTCATTTTGGTAATTTCTATATATAATTAACAAATTCTAAAATGTGTCATATTAGAATCTATTTGTGTGACCACTCTTATTTAAGAAATTGTGCTCAGTATTTAGAAATTATGCAGATAAATATGTTCCTTGCAGCATTGTTTTAATGAAGATGAATTTTTTAATTGTTATTCTAGAAATCAGATTTGACTGTTCATTTATAATATGAAGCAATATTTTTTAAAATAAAATTATATTTTTTTCAAATGACAGATGATATAGGAAAATTCTAAAACTCTATAAAAATTATTTTGGTATCTTTTAACTTTTGGTTAAACAAATTCATTTATTTGGAAACAAAAAATAATTTGCAGAACAGGATGCAACCCTCTGGGCACCATGAAAAATCGTAAGGTTGTAAGTCACTGGCGTAGATGATATAAGCCCGTAAACTTGACCTGCTGCAAATCAAATCTTGATTATGGCAGGCACATTTTTAGTTTTAAAAAATTGTTCATATGTCATTTGATAAGGTACATTATATATATCTATGTTTATTGTATGTTTTAAAAAAGAATTGCCTAAACATTTAGTCATTCGTGGTTTATTGACATGGTTAAAATTTATATGGTTAGTGTATTGAAACTAATGATGTCAAATCAATGATATTTGGTATATAGTAGATTTATAGTATCCATTGTATTAAAAGCCCTAACATATTCAGTAAGTCATTGACTTCAAATTTGTCATAGTTGAAATTATGCAACATCAGATGCTCCAGAAAGTAAGCATGACTTGCTTATAGTCAGACACCCTTGTGTTTCACACAATGGTAATATTCTGGAATGGAAGAAAGGAATATATGACAGGTGCACTGTTGTCATTCAGTATACATACATTATTACAATTGTTATTAGGTGGAAGAATCCTAAAATTTCGGATTGGTAATAATGTTACCTTGAATGATTGAAAATAAAAATTGAAAGATGACTAGGAAGAACATAATGATTTTTAGTTCTGCTGGTCAACAGTAAAATCACAATATAGATCTAAAAATGGATCTTTCACTGAAAAAGTTGTTTCTGGATGATACTGTAAATTCAGAAATTATTGCATGCATTTAATCATTGCAATTCTTTCATTTTCAATTTTAACTTTTGAAATGATAAGAACAAGAGTGCACACGCTGAAATGTCTCGTCTGCTTTACTGACCATTAATTTTATCGTGATAGTCCTAAATATAAAAGCTGTAATACTAGTATCACAAATATAAGTATTGTAAATATATTCTTAACATGATCCAAGAAAAGAAGGTCAAAGTCAGTTACACCTTACAATAATTCCATACACAAAATATAGTTGACCTATTGCCTATGGTTTCTTAGAAACAAACTTAAACAGGAAAAGTTAAAATGGAACAATGAACCATAAAAATGAGTTTAAGCCTTCAAGGTCAGATGATCCATGCCTGACAGACATTTACACCTTACAACCAACCTATGCATTAAATATAGACATATTTCTTTCAGTATCCAAGAAACAAATTTAACCAGAAAAACTACATTGACCAATGAGCCATGAAATTGAAGTCAAGGTCAATGATATTTGCCAGACAGACATGTTCGTCTTAAAATATTTCCATACACCAAATAAAATTTACCTATTACATATAGTATGCGAAAAAAAGACCAAAAACTAAAACTTAACTAACCACTGAACCATGAAAAAGAGGTCAAGGTCAGATGACACCTTCCAGTTGGACAAAAAAAATCACAATAATTTCTTAATTTCCAGTAACTATGCATGCCTTGTTGTAATTTGATGATGTTTACATAGACTTTGTATATGGTTACAAGGTAGAATTAACTGATTGATTTTAAGATAACCCTTTCATGTAATCAAGAGATACAAGTTGTAAATATAAAGAAATATAATTGCATGTTGATTTTCGTTGAAAGAAGTACATTTACAGTGCTGAATAAAAGACATTATACCGTATCCGTTTGTATCAAATCTGAACCTTATTTTGTTTCCATGGTTACCAAAAGCAGAATGAAACACTGAAGTGCTGAGTATAGACTTCAAACTCCATTTATCATATGTATTCAATACATTGATTTTCATGTGTTAGATGCTGATTGTGAATTATTTCAGCAATTTGAGGTCGGTTGCTAAGGCTTTTTATCTGTTGCTATGGTCAATTTACCATTTTAAGTAATTCTAAATTTTTTTTAAATATTTTCCAACAAATTATAGGTTTTATTGTGTGTTAAATTGCATTAATATAACACATATGCACAATCTTAATAATAAACACATTTTCTGATTTTGTCATTTTTAAGAAAATTGCCAATTTTGGTTCCTATGGTAACAAAAATTGCGAAAAAAACCCAGATGTTTTTTTACAGTTTTCAATAATTCAATATATGAACTTTAAGCTGCAATCATGTTTTAAAAGAAAATCATCTGCCCATTTTTAATTTTATTTGATTTAAAATGTAACATTTCAGCCATTTTCAAAAAATGTGAAAAACAGATTTTTGCCACTTTTTAAAATAGTATTTTCGCTTTATAGGAAAAAAAATTTCAAAACCTATACATTAAAATATATAATTCAAATAATGTTTAATAATGTGGTAAAATTATTTTTTTTTTGCAATTCTCATAATCAGAAAATTTTGCAACCAAAATAACATGGATTTTTCAATTTTTTATGTATGATTTCATCATCAATTCTCGAAAAAATGGATCCATAGCAACCGTTCAACAAAATTAAAAAATTTAGCCTGCAATCATCATTTCAATCTTAGCTGTCTATTATATAAAAAAATAAAGACGTTCTGAAACATACATGAATCACCCCCTGCCTGGTTCTTACAAATAGCTGTACTTAAAGTGGCCTATAATAAGGAAAGTGCTGAATATATCACACGTGTACATATGGTTATCTTCCTTTGATTTTCGTTGTCTACAAATATAGTCCCTAGTGTGGAGTGTGTTACTTGCCATTTTTTAGCTCACCTGGCCCAAAGGGCCAAGTGAGCTTTTCTCATCACTTGGCGACCGTCGTCCGTCGTCGTCCGTCGTCATTAACTTTTACAAAAATCTTCTCCTCTGAAACTACTGGGCCAAATTTGACCAAACTTGGCCACAATCATCATTGGGGTATCTAGTTTAAAAAATGTGTCTGGTGACCCGGCCAACCATTCAAGATGGCCGCCATGGCTAAAAATAGAACATAGGGGTAAAATGTAGATTTTGGCTTATATCTCTGAAACCAAAGCATTTAGAGCAAATCTGACATGGGGTAAATTGTTCATCAGGTCAAGATCTATCTGCCCTGAAATTTTCAGATAAATCTGGCAACCCGTTGTTGGGTTGCTGCCCCTGAATTGGTAATTTTAAGAAAATGTTGCCGTTGTTGGTTATTATCTTGAATATTATTATAGATAGAGATAAACTGTAAACAGCAATAATGTTCAGCAAAGTAAGATCTACAAATAAGGCAACTTGACCAAAATGGTCAGTTGACCCCTTAAGGAGTTATTGCCCTTTATAGTCAATTTTTAACCATTTTTCGTAAATTTTTGTAATCTTTTACAAAAATCTTCTCCTCTCAAACTACTAAGACAAATTTAACCAAACTTGTCCACAATCATCAATAGGGTATCTAGTTTTAAAAATGTGTCCGATGACCCCGTCCGCGAACCAAGATGGCCGACATGGCTAAATATAGTACATAGGGTAAAATGCAGTTTTAGGCTCATATCTCTGAAACCAAAGCATAAAGAGCAAATCTGACAAAGGATAAAATTGTTCATTAGGTCAAGATCTATCTGCCCTGAAATTTTCTGACCAATCAGGTAACACGTTGTTGGGTTGCTGCCCCTGAATTGGTAATTTTAAGAAAATTTTGCAGCTTTTGGTTATTATCTTGAATATGATTATAGATAGAGATAAACTGTAAACAGCAATAATGTACAGCAAAGTAAGATCTACAAATAAGTCAACATGACCAAAATAGTCAATTGACCCCTTAAGGAGTTATTGCCCTTTATAGTCAATTTTTTACAATTTTCATAAATTTTGTAAATTTTTGTAAATTTTTACAAAATACTTTCCACTGTAACTACTGGGCCAAGTTTATTATAGATAGAGATAATTGTAAGCAGCAAGAATGTTCAGTAAAGTAAGATCTACAAACACATCACCATCACCAAAACACAATTTTGTCATGAATCCATCTGTGTCCTTTGTTTAATATGCACATAGACCAAGGTGAGCGACACAGGCTCTTTAGAGCCTCTAGTTTTATACCCTTTCCAAATTTATTTCTTCATTTTTTATGCCTCAAATAGCAAGTAGGGAGATGAAATTACACTGTAAAAAAATTTGGGTCATGAATTTTAAATTAAAGTAGTGATTTGGTCCAGCTAAAAAAGGTTAAAAATTAGTATTTCGGAAGCTGTCAAAAGAATTCAACATAAAAGTGTCCATATTTTGAGTTAGAGCTGATGAAGTTTTCTATAATTTTGATATAATTTGTCCCAAAAGTAGTACACCGCACTGTAAAAATATTATTGAGAAAGCGCAGGTGGGATTTTTTCAATTTTCATTTATTGCCTAAAAAAAATGCACTATGAAATAACTGTGTTCTTGGGCCATATAGGTGTTTTCTTTATTCACTTTACAAAAAGGGGAGATTATCTTGATGTGTTTTTGTCTAATGGAGGCCTAGGGGTATGATGAGAAGAAGGTAAATTGGTCTTCATAATAGAATGATCTTTATTTTTACAAAATTCATTTAAAAAATGGAAAAGTTAATTTACAAAATTAGTCAACATTTACAGCAAATAGATATAAAAAGATAAATTCAGTTGAACAAAAAAATCTATATTTAATGTAAGAAAATAATCAATATATTATATTTCAACCTATAAATAAATTATTTCATTTCAATGTTTACATTTTTTACCTGGTGGCGTCATTTAAATGTTATTTGATTATCTTGTTTAGGTATAAACATGTCCTCATGCTCAACTCCCTGGTAGATCATCAGTTTTGAAAAAGTGAGGCAAACATACACAGATGAAGTAACTTTTAGGTAAATCAAAAGGTCTATGGTAGAAAACTACATTATCTTTCTTTTTTTGAAAATATGTTCAAGGCCTATATAAAGCCTCATGTTTTAATAATCTTTTTTTTGACTTTTTGTATACATTAACTTTTATGTCATTAAAAATACTTATTATATATAAGAAGTTATTGTGTGAAATGTCAGACTGGTAAATTATTGACTATAAATAATGAAACTCAGGGCCAAATGAACTAAAATATTTTTGGAAATATGGCAAACTTGACATATATGCTGAAAGTCTTTAAGATGAAGTTCTTATTACAGGTAGTATGAGAATGATGTAAAGGTCAGCCAAAGCATGTCAGACATAAACTTCAGTGTTTTCCCAGAATTTCTTTGTGAATGGGGCATTGACTAAAAGAATGATCGTCATCCTGTCATGTGCTTGCATGTCACAATTCATGATAAAAATTACATTACTTTGCAACAAATCACAAAAATTTGGATTTACAAATCTTTTTTTTTTATAATATGCTCAATATGCTAAATTTTTATAAAATGCTCAACATGCGAGTCATGCCCACATGACCACATAACTTAAAATATTTTGCTTATGTTTATAAGGACATAGGCAATTATCAAGAAGTGAATAAATCCTATAACATGTGGATCCTGACCATAAGGCTAAATTACTTACATTTTATATATGTTTAGGTCATGGCATCCAGTAAACCTATACCATGTGGATCCTGATCACAAGGCTAAATAACTTACATTTTATATATGTTTAGGTCATGGCATCCAGTAAACCTATACCATGTGGACCTTGTCAAGAAGGAAAAGTAAATACTAAAGAAGACAACTGTGAAGAAGGATTATGTTCCAGTCATCACAAAAGATCCACAGAAACATTCAATCATAAGACCATTGATGTTAAAAGTTATAAACCATCAACCCAAGCTATCAAAACAGAATGTGACAATCATGGTCAACAGCTCAACTTGTACTGCCCCAGTCATCTTATGCCTTGCTGTGATGAATGTATTTCCACGAGTCATTCAAAATGTACTGGAATAAAAAATTTAGCAGGTGTAGTGGAGAGAACAGTGATTGAAAAATCCAAAGAATCTGTAGATAAAGATATAAACTCTAACTTACATCTCTTGGATAAAATGGTAAATAATAAATCAACAAACATCAAAACTGGAGAACAACAAAGTGAAGGCATAAAGGAATCAATTGTTAAAATACGGAATGAAATAAATAAATATCTTGACTGCCTGGAGGAGAAATTTAGCAAAGAAACAGACAACCTCAGGGATCAGGAAAAATCAACAGCTATAGATTTCATTTCTGAAGTTGAAGGGAAGAAGAAAAAACTGAAGGAAATGAAAGAACATTTGCATACAGTTACAACAAATAGTTCAAAACTTCATTGTTTTCTAGGCGTATATCAGATTGAACAACAAGTACATCAATGTCAACAATATGCTGATGATCTGAAAAAAGATGACAGGGCTAAAAAGTTTGACATCAAAATGAAGCAAAATGATGAAATAGAAAACATATTAATTAAGTTAGGATCATTAGAATCTCTGGGAGAAGTAATGGTTGTTAAAACAGAAATAGACTTGAACAGAGAAACAAGTGTGAGGACGGAAGCACAAGTGCAAACACGAGGACAATCAAACATAAACAACATGACCATGAATATTGAAACAAAGATAGAGATCAACATGGAGAAGGTGATTACTGACATGATTTGTTTGATGGATGGAAGAGTTATAGTAGTAGAACAGTTTGGCAAAGTTTACCTACTTTCTTCCGATGGCAAACTACAGAAAGAATTACCTATATCTGGTGACGCATACTGTGTAACACAGATCAATCAGACAACTATTGCTATAACTTATCCTAGAGAGGCAGCCATTAAAGTCTTCAATATGGAGAATGAAACAGTTACAAAAGTTATCAAATTCGACAAGAATTGCTGGGGATTATCATTCTCCAATAATTCTCTGGCTGTTGGTATGGGTAATGATGAAATCCGTATTATAGACTTAGAAGGAAATACACTGAAGTCAATCAAAGATCAGATCAGAAAACAATTGTTAAATATTGTTTACTGCAATGACAGAGTAGCCTATATGGACTATAGAGGTGAAGCAATATACTGTGTTGATGTATCAGGTAAACAGATCTGGCAATGTAAACAGGATTTATCAGGAAGATGGGACCTTCGTACAGAAATTAATGGTAACATTATTTTGGCAGACTGTTTCTCAAGTAGTATAACAGTAATATCAAAAGATGGACAGAATAGTAAAGAACTGATTAGTAAAGAGGATGGACTGGTGAACCTTACATTTATTTGTTTTAAACCTAATGAGTCTTCAGGTTTAATTTGTGATTACAATGGCACTTACTTGGCCAAATTTAATTTATCTTCTGGATAAAATATACACTGAGGAATCTATTATTATTACTCGGTTACGAAACTGTAGAAGTATAATATCAAAAATGTTGATGTTTTTTATACGTGAACTTTAATATATTGTGAGTGGAAATGAAGACAATTTTCTAGATTTCTGTAATTCTCATTGTATTATTGAGTTGCCTTCCCATTTATATTTAAATCACATATCTTTTTACTTATAACTTTATATACAACTATAGGTTATAATGATACTGACTTTCAGTGAAAAAAAAACATAAGATATAATTTTTAAAGGGCATATCCCATGTTGAGATTTTGCTATAGGCCCAGAGAACACAGTTATTTCGTAGTGCATTTTTTTTAGACAATAAATTAAAATTTAAAAAAAATGGCACCTGCAATATAGAGACAATTCAATGTTAAGGGGGTCTATAATTCAGTTTGATAGCGTCAAACATCCTCTTTTTTGAACTTTTTCAACTGGACAAAATCACTACCTAACCTAACAAGAGTGCATACACTGATATGTCTCGCCTGCTTTACTGGCCAATGATTTTATGTTGACAGTCTTAAAGATAAAGCTTTTACTGCAAGTATCACATAAACTTAACATTTCTAAAGATCCATGAAAATGAGGTCAAGGTCAGATAAATCCTGTCAGACAGATATGTACACCTTACAATTATTCCATACACCAATTGACCAAATATAGTTGACTATTGCTTATGATAATTGAAAAACAAACCAAACACAAAAACTTTACATTGACAATTGAACCATGAAAATTAGGTCAAGGTTAGATAATACCTGCCAGACAGACATGTACACCTTACAATTATTCCATCATACATCAAATATATCTGACCTATTAATACTAGTATTTGAAAAACAGATCAAAACACAAAACCTTTATATTAACCAATGAACCATGAAAATGAGGTCAAGGCCCGATGATTCTTGCTAGACAAACATGTACACCTTACAATCATTCCATACACCAAATATAGTTGACCTGTTGCTTATAGTACAAAAACAGATCAAAGCACAAAAAATTAACATTGACCAATAAACCATGAACATGAGGTCAAGGTCAGATGAAACCTGCCAGACTGACATGTACCCTTTACAATCATTCCATACACCACATATAGTTGACCTACTGCTCATTGTATCTGAGAAACGAACCTAATCACATAACTTTAACTTTGATTACTGATCCATGAAATGAGGTCGAGGTCAGGTGAACCCTGTCTGACGGACATGTAGATGTTGCAAGAAACCCATATACCAAATATACTTCTACTATTACCCATAATAAGTGAGAAATTCACATGACAAAATAACCTTAAAAAAAGTTTCAAGCAGTCACTGAACCATGAAAATGAGGTCATATGACAGACAGAAACTTCTTAACATAAGGTATCTGCATTAAAGGTATGAAGCATCCAGGTCTTCTATCTTCTGGAATATACAGCTTTATACAAATAGTTTACATCACTGCTGCAGCCTGATAGTAATCCCTATGTCTTGCATACTGCGACTTTCATCAGCCAGGGTGACAATGACATCATATTCTTAGTTGTTAATCTATTGTAAGCAAGGATGACAATGACATCACATTCTAAATTGTTAATCTATTGTAAGCAAGGATGACAATGACATCACATTCTAAATTGTTAATCTATTGTAAGCAAGGGTGACAATGACATTACATTCTAAATTGTTAATCTATTGTGAGCAAGGATGACAATGACATTACATTCTAAATTGATCATCTATTGTAAGCCAGGGTGACAATGACATTACATTCTAAGTTGATCATCTATTGTAAGCAAGGATGACAATGACATCACATTCTAAATTGTTAATCTATTGTAAGCAAGGATGACAATGACATCACATTCTAAATTGATCATCTATTGTAAGCAAGGATGACAATGACATTACATTCTAAGTTGATCATCTATTGTAAGCCAGGATGAAAATGACATCACATTCTAAATTGATCATCTATTGTAAGCCAGGATGACAATGACATCACATTCTAAATTGATCATCTATTGTAAGCCAGGGTGACAATGACATTACATTCTAAGTTGATCATCTATTGTAAGCCAGGGTGACAATGACATCACATTCTAAATTGATCATCTATTGTAAGCAAGGATGACAATGACATCACATTCTAAATTGATCATCTATTGTAAGCAAGGGTGACAATGACATCACATTCTAAGTTGATCATCTATTGTAAGCCAGGGTGACAATGAAATCACATTCTTATTTGATCATCTATTGAAAGTGACAGTGACAATGCTGTAGTTGGCAAAAAACAAATTGGGGCAATATGAATGTCTTACCTCTAACATTACATTTAAAATGAATATCACATTAAGTTTTTCAACCCTATTTCCACCTAGTAGTCTCATTAATTTCACACATTCTTGTTGAACATGGCTCTTACATAATATGTCTGTTGAAATTATGTGGAAGAAAGTTGCATGTGTATCTGGATATCTAACATTGATTTGAATTATTCTACAGTCATTAGATGTATTTTTGAAATACACCAATTAATGACTGTTCCTACCAAATCCAATCAAGTACTGAAGTACTGAACATTAAATGACGGCAAGTTCTGGTGGAAGGTCACAAGCACTTGTCTCAGAAAAAAAATCACATATCTATACCTGAAAGTTAGGTTAAGGTACATAGATATATTTTTTCTGAGACGAGTTCCTGTGTGGATGATGAATAAATGACAGGAAATTCAACCTCACCTTAATAATTATTATATTGTAGTGATATAATCATTTGTTATCAGTATACTCTGGTTTGTTGTTATATATTATATTAATATTTGTATACCAGTTATATATATAGCAGATCATCTTAATAACTCTACAGGCAAATTTTCATCCATTTATATATCATTCTATTCTACTATTCTAATAATAGTGCAGTGCAAGTGCATGGTGGACACTCTTCTGTAATAATTTGTTTTTCTAATAGATTTGATTTGAGTAGGCATTCATATTTTCCCGCTTTTGTTGCAAAATGTCCTCGAGATATTCTTCCGCATGCGTTAACACAAATTTTCGGTATCCATGATTTGCTATTGATATATATATTTCTCACGACAAAACATTTTCATACATTTATCTATGTTCTTAAAAATTATTTTCATGAATATTTTTTGATGAAATTAATATATAATAAGCGATAAGGAATGTTATTTTGCACTCGATAATATCCGCGTAATTATACGAAATACGTTCCGTTATCAGTCAAACGGCAAGGAAATTTCTGCGGCAATATAACACAGGTTTGACCTCTCAAGGTCACATCCGATGTAAAAATGGTACAAATTGATCATAATTAAATAATACAAGTTTTAGCTTTCTTAAAAGCTTTGGAGTGCTTTGCTGTACCATACTTTTAAGTAAGATGTGGTTTATTTGGTTGTTTAAGTATGAGAAAGGTGTTAGTTATCTCCTTTGTGTATATACTCATAAGTGTGGTAATATAAGCCCATCTTAAATGGGATGTATTATGGTATACTGTAGTTCATCCATGAATATTTTCTATAAAAACTCAATTTGCCAATTCCAACAAAACTTAAACAGAACATTAGGATTGATAGCATATAAAAATAAGGAGATGTGGTTCAATAGTGTAACAGTACAACATAAATCAAAGAGCTGAAAGCTCTGAGGAAAAATGACGCCACTGTCTCTAATATTGTGATATTTTTTATGCAAGTCTTGATTTTCACATACCGTAATTAGTTTAACATTCCAACATGTCTCGTAAGCATATAATTGATATTCGTATATGTGTGTGTTATGTGAAGATGACAACTGGCTGTTTTTTTAGTACAAATGTATAGGTCAAGACTACCTGAATGATCTACAGTATCCAATGACTACTGGCTGTTTTTTTCTATAAATAAATAGGTCAAGACTACCAGAATGATCTACAATATCCAATGACTACTGGCTGTTCTTTTGTACTAATAAATAGGTCAAGACTATTTGAATGATCTACAATATCCAATGACTACTGGCTGTTCTTTTGTACATATAAATAAAGACTACCTGAATGATCTAAAGTATTCTAAGTAATGTGATTTTTGTCTTACCATTACATTTTTCTAAATCAAGAATATAGACTACTAGCATCCTTTTCAAACCAAATGATTATGAAGAGCCTGTTGTTATCAAGCTCTTATACCCCACATACTCATTAAATAAGTTACTAGTGACCTAATTATTTCTGTTACTTGAAGCAAATTATATTTCTGTAGATTTAGACAATAGTATAATATTGTTTTACTAGTTTTATTTCACCTTGAAGATTAGACAAATAGGGATACTCCTTTGATTTTTTATTTCATGTCAGTCAGGTCGCTTTATATGAAACTTGAAACCACTTCTCTGCCATATTGTTATTTCATAACAACTCTGCCCTTGACCATGTTGACCCATGTAATTGATATTCATTCTTTAACCATATATCATAGTCAGTTAGTTTTTGATTTTGCACTCCCACACCACCTTTCAGGCCAAATGTCTGTCTCCATTTAAGTTAATGACATTGAACAATCATGGTATTAAACACAATTTCAATAGTGATAATGCTGTTCTAGTAGGTCACCATATATTCAACTTGGGTAGCATTCCAGTTATTGAAATTTGTGTCAGATTAGAACAATGATCTAGACCTTTAGGAATGGATCTTACAATTTAATATGGAGCCATAGTATGGGACCCCTACACGGTAACAAAAAAAAAACAAGCTTGAAAGGATACAACGTCAAGCGGCAAAATCTATCACCAGAAATTACAAGTCAAGAGAGGATGGACGGGATACGTCTCTAAAATGCTTGCCTAACTGGAACTACAACAAGATCTCCAGACAAAACGAACAAGGAGTTGAAGCCAGAAGTTAATATTTATGTAAAAAGTAGTTGAGGGGCTGATTCCCGCTATTGAACCATACTGTCATTCTATAATATTATTGCGTAAGTATTTCTGTATTGTCCTTGTTATTGGTCCATGTCTTGGTGTATTGGTCTGAGGCGAAGCCGAAGGCCAATACTGCTGGCCGAGGACCAACAATAAGGCCAATACAGAAATACATGTAATAGTATCTTTATTAATTAACTGCAGTGTTACAATATTTTTTTATTTCATTTCACAAGAGATAAACATTTTTACCTTGAAGTGGAACTATCCAAATCTCAGTTTCTTTTTATAAGATGCAATATCAATGATTTGGTGCCGTTTCCATGTATCTTCAACCTTTTCTCATCTGATGAATTTTTCTACCCTTTCCAGTTACTATAAAGTGTTACAACTTTAATTTAGACACAACACATAAATAGTAATTGGAAAGGTACTGCCATTGCATGTGTAATGCAAATATATTTAAAAAAAAAAATAATGTAAGAGTTGAAATTGATACAACTATCCATAAGCCAATTGACCAAAGAACGAAGATTTGCGCAATTACAGAATGCATATGCCTGGTTCGGGTTTAAAAATAAAAGACCGTTTACAAAACATGAGAAGCGAAAGTAAACAGTAAAAATCGATTTGTACCATCGACATGATGAAATTATGAGGTCGTCAAGAAATGAACTTTGTGATAATTTACTCGTTCCCCAAACCTGAAATAATTCCATCGTCTACTTTCAAAATGCTTTTCAAATGAATGGGACCGTCTTTAACATAACATATATGCCATACTGAACGTTTCAGCTTGTTTATGGTGAGTAAATAAAAACTGCGTCGCACAAACAACTGTTTACTTTCAGTTTGAGTTTTATCGTGACTTACGATCTAAAAACTAGAGACGTTCCGAAATCCTGTTTTGGCCGGATCAGAACTCGGCCAATACGGAAAAAAAATCTGTATTGGCCGAGTTGACATCTTATATTGCATATGCAGTTTTCATCATATTAAGTACAATAACAGTGTAGTTAATTAATAATGATACAGTTACAGACTCTGCTGCTATAACTTTGTAAACAAAGATTCATACGCACCGCGTGGGTATAACCGTATTACTAATTTCCGATTATTAAAATCTTCGTAAATCTGGATAAAGACCAGTTTCTATCCAATGAATATCATAATGATTCCGATTATAACTTTTTTAATGATTGTAAAGTTGAAATGGCATGAAAGGCTGACAATATTTAGAACTATTTTGTCTAGCGATTGCTGATCATTGGAGGGTAAAAAGTCCAACACCATAACAAAACGGATCTATTTATCATGTATACATACCGATTGTTTACGATTGTAAGACATGTGCATAAAAGTCAAAGCTCGAATAAATATGAAAAATATAACAAAGGGATAGCTCCAAATACCATTTAATAACAAAAAACATATGGACAGTTCAAGATATCTTTTTGGTAAATAAAATAACGTATGTAAACTGGTTAAATATGAAACCGAGTGCGGTAGGCGGAGGCATAATCAACTTCCGTTAGTTCTGGTCAATGGTATCGGAAACATGCCGCTGATAGCGTCATTTTCCAAAAAACAAGTTGAAAAGGGTTAAACTCATCAGATCGATACAAAGCAGAATAACATCTAACAAAAACACAGACCGGACGTGCCAGGGAATTTATACTCACAACAAAAAAGACACATCAAAGTATATTATACAGATCTGAGAGTACTCGCAGTTACTGACAACTAGTTCAAGGCCAATAACAACTAATAAAAACATCATGTATCTAAGACTAAAATATCAATCAGTACACATCCAACATCCAATGGTTTTAGTGTAAAGACATCATTAACAGTCAGAGAAAAACATGACCTTGCACAATGCCAAAAAGTATCTACGGATTGTAGAACCATGAATGTGCATATGTGTATAACAATAATATTGAGTATGGTTTTTATTTACTGATAACAAAATCAATATTTATACCAAAAAAAACCCAATATTTAAAGATCTAATTACAGAGTTAAATTGGTAACTATTTAGAATAAGTTTATTTAAAGGTTTGATAAATTTACCCGGATCTATTTAAATTTCTGAGCTCGGTAAACAACATCACCATAAAAATTAGAAGAAAGCTTCATTTTGATTTTCAAATTCTTTGCTTGTGTCATTCCAGAGATATGGTTAGATTTTGAAAATTTATGATTTGTCATTCCACAGTTATGGGATTTTGACTGTCAGATTAGTAATAGGTATTGTTCTAGATGTAAAGCACTAGATCTTGTATGTTTTGATCAATTTACTACACACTTTACTATGTTGTTGGTATAGAATATAGATTTACTTTGTATTTTGAAAATTTATGGTTTATCGTGCCAGAGTTTTTGGTCTTTTAACAGTTGTTTCTGACGCAATACTTATTTGCATATGGATACTCTTCATCATGCTTGTTTTTCAACACAGCCATTTTACTAACTTGTTATTCCATATCATTATCACAACAATTCATTGGCAGTAATAGGTATTTAAAGTGTTGGTGTATATTCATATATAGTAAGATGACCACTCAGAAACTTGTTTATCTTTGTCCCTCCTCTTATTTATCAATATGAATTTGTATGGGAGCGTGAATATCATATGAAACTAATAGCTTCACACCGTGATGCTTTACTTATAGTTGATAAAGGAATACAGCATCTTAGCTGGAAGGTGATCTAACTTGTTCAAAAGAGAAGGCGGATTGTCAAAGATCAGAATGTAAAATAGTGGTTTCAATAGTCTCATATATTTAAGAAAAAACAATTAATACAAATATACTGAATCTGTAACAGTAATGGTAGCCATGTTAGTTGGTCAAATGGGTCTAAAAAGATAATTCTGAAAAGGTATACCCATTCAGACAAACTTATAAAACTAGTTAAACTTAAGTTAAGCTAACAGCAGTCTCTTCAATTATTTTTTGCAGTCACAGGCTCAATGCTCATCTTGAAAAATTTTGTTTAGATTCTATGAAGCCTGTAGAAGAAATTCTTACAATCAAGATAGAAATTTGACGAGCCTGGTTTGGTAGGGCTGGGATCAGGCATGATGACTGCAGTAACAGATTTGATATCCTTCTCCCCCAAAATCCCAAAAATCATTTAGATAAAAAATCAAAATAGATTGTGCAGAATGGCATAATCTACAATACATTTTTTAAAAGTTCAATTGAAACATGGTTGCCGATTTGGGTGGAGATACAACGTGCCTACCCCCTTTTCTAGTATTGCATAGCCCTTATTTTGATAAGGAAACCCCAAAACGCATTCTCATAAAAAAATAAAATAGAGGCCCAACTGTATAATGAAAGTAATATTCTGTGAAGGTTCAATTCAAATAAAGTTAACGGTTTAGGAGAAGTTAAGAATACAAAATGCCTGCCCTTTCTGAAGAAATAGCAGAGTTCAAGTTTTCAATCAGAAGTCCACAAAATCTTTAGGATAAAAAATTAAAAGACGTCCTTAATGAAATTAGCTACTTCAAGATTCCCTGAAAATTTCATTGAAATCCAGAAACTGTGTTAAAGAGGAGTTGCATATACATAAAAGATGATCTTTAAAAAAAAGTTAAAAACAAGAATGTGTCCATAGTACACGGATGCCCCACTCACACTATCATTTTCTATGTTCAGTGGACGGTGAAATTGGGGTCAAAACTCTAATTTGGCATTAAAATTAGAAAGATCATATTATAAGGGAACATGTGTACTAAGTTGTAAGTTGATTAGACATCAACTTCATCAAAAACTACCTTGACCAAAAACTTTAACCTGAAGTGGGACAGACGGACGAACAGATGGACAGACGGACCAACGAACAAACAGACCCAACAGACCGAAAAACATAATGCCGCTCTACTATCGTAGGTGGGGCATAAAAAAAAAAAAAACAGTGAATATAATGAATATTACAAGAAAATGCTTGACAGAACTGGTCTCATTTTTTTTTACTCAGTCAACTTTTACTGGCATTCAGAACTGACATACATCACTACATGTTTTAGAACAAAGCAGAGATTAATGATCCTTTCATTTTAACCAAGAAAGATGTCCACAAATAATTTTCTAAACAGCCTACTTATTCAAACTTATTCAAACTCATCTTTGAAGTATTGTTTTGTGTTTTTTGTTTTAATATAACATTAACACTCACACTAACAGGTCCTAAATAAAATACATGTATTGTATCCTACTTTAATAGAACGAATGCATATAATTAATGTATGAGGTGATAAAAAAAAATAATAAAAACAAAAAATAAAAAAAATAAAAGTGTTCATTCAAAAATTTAATTAACCTGGAAAATTAATGGAGAAGTGCTTGCTGTCTAGTTTTCAATCGATCTTTCTGTTATTCAAATAAAAACAATAATTCTTGTTGCTTTTATAAAATAATTTATTATGAAATAAGATAAGCAGAGAATGTACTGTAGTAATGACTACTGCTATGAAGGTCACCATTAATACCTCTGACTGTAACCTTGTCTCCCTTCTTCAGATGTAACACCATATTAACAGTGGCCTCACTATAACCGGTACCAGGGTACAATCCAACCATCTTTGTTTCGTTCTGCCATAGCTTAGCCAAGACATTTTTCCCATTAACTGACATGACTGTAGCAGACACTTGGTACAGTCCTTCTATTGGAGCTTGGAATACTCCAGTGCTGGGATCATAATGATTTCCATTATTGGTCCAAACTTTATCAAACTTTAAAATTTCATTTCCTCCAACACTCTTTGGAGCTGATAAAGATGCAGTAAAGGCAGGAATGTCCCTAAGTTTTCTTGGAGCATGTCTATAACCTGCAAAAAAAGAACATTAATATAAGAGCCTATAAAGGCAGTTTAAGTACTCTAAGTTTCGATTTCAGTAACTGCAATTATTCTCTAATACAGTATTATTTAGCATTCTTTTACTTGTATCTGTGTTTTTGTTATTTGTTTTACCAATAACCCAAAACTAAGCTTTTTTTTTTGGACTAATTTTTACTGTATATTCTACTATGTTCCTTCTGTTGTGGTGGCCTCAGTGGCCTCGGTGGCCTTGTGGTCTTAGTGGTTTATCTACACTGATCATTAGCCTGTTAAATCTAAGGTTGGGAGTTTGTAACCTTCTCATAACCAGGTGTTTTAGACTCTGATCTTAACTGACAAAGAAGCCAGTTTTTCTGCCATAGGTTGGTGGTTCTCCTGGGTACTTTAACAAGAGTGCACACGCTGAAATGTCTCGCCTTCTTTACTAATCATTGATATTATGTTGATAGTCCTAAATATAAAGCTTTATTACAACTGTCACATAAACTTAACATTAACCAAGTAAACTAAACATTGACCAAAGAACCATGAAAATGAGGTCAAGGTCAGATGAACCATGCTAGGCAGGCATGTACAGCTAACAATTCTTCAATACAACAAATATAGTTGACCTATTGCTTATAGTTTAAGAAAAACAGACCAAAACACAAAAACTTAACACTGAGCAATGAACCGTAAAAATGAGGTCAAGGTCAAATAAACCCTGCGTGACTGCCAAATAGATCATAAAACATTTCCATACACCAAATACAGTTGAACTATTGCATATAGAATTAGAAAAACAGACCAAAACACAAAAACTTAACTATAACCACTGAACCATGAAAATGAGGTCAAGGTCAGATGACACCTGCCAGTTGGACATGTACACCTTACAGTCCTTCCATACACCAAATATACTAGACCTATTGCTTATAGTATCTGAGATATGGACTTGACCACCAAAACTTAACCTTGTTCACTGATCCATGAAATGAGGTCGAGGTCAAGTGAAAACTGTCTGACGGGCATGAGGACCTTGCAAGGTACGCACATACCAAATATAGTTGAACTATTGCATATAGTATTAGAAGAAAAGACCAAAACTCATAAACTTAACTTTGACCACTGAACCATGAAAATGAGGTCAAGGTCAGATGACACCTGCCTGCTAGACATGTACACCTTACAATCATTCCATATACCAAATATAGTAGACCTATGGCATACAGTATAAGAAAAACAGACCAAAACACAAAAACTTAACTATAACCACTGAACCATGAAAAAGAGGTCAAGGTCAGATGACACCTGCCAGTTTGACATGTACACCTTACAGTTCTTCCATACACCGAATATACTAGACCTATTGCTTATAGTATCTGAGATATGGACTTGACCACCAAAACTTAACCTTGTTCACTGATCCATGAAATGAGGTCGAGGTCAAGTGAAAACTGTCTGACGGGCATGAGGACCTTGCAAGGTACGCACATACCAAATATAGTTATCCTATTACTTATAATATGAGAGAATCTAACATTACAAAAAATCTTAACTTTTTTTTCAAGTAGTCACTGAACCATGAAAATGAGGTCAAGGACATTGGACATGTGACTGACGGAAACTTCGTAACATGAGGCATCCATATACAAAGTATGAAGCATCCAGACCTTCCACCTTCTAAAATATAAAGCTTTTAAGAAGTTAGCTAACGCCGCCGCCGCCGTAGCCGCCGACGCCGCCGGATCACTATCCCTATGTCGAGCTTTCTGCGACAAAAGTCGCAGGCTCGACAATAAAAACTAGCCATCACCAAATTGGCAATGACATGGAAAGTGTTGTTAAACATAAAAAAACAAGCATTCAGAACAAACCTTTAGTCATTTTGCTAACCTACATGTAGATAATAAAATTGAGAATGGAAATGGGGAATATGTCAAAGAGACAACAACCCGACCAAAGAGCAGACAACAGCCAAAGGCCACCAATGGGTCTTCAACGCAGTGAGAAAATCCCGCACCCTGAGGTGGTCCTCAGCTGGCCCCTAAATAAAATTGTGTACTAGTTCAGTGAAAATGGATGTCACACTAAACTCCAAAACATATAAATGAACTAAAATTAAAAAAACATTCAAGACTAACAAAGGCCAGAGGCTCCTGACGGGACAGGCGCAAAAATGCGGCGGGGTTAAACATGTTTTGTGAGATCTCAACCCTCCCCCTATACGTCTAGCCAATGTAGAATAAAGAAACACATAGCAATACGCACAGTAAAACTCAGTTCAAAAGAAGTCCGAGTCCGATGTCAGAATAGGTAACAAAAGAAACTAAGCAAAATGACAATGATACATTAAATGAACAAAGGACTACTAGAAGTTACTGACATGCCAGCTCCAGACCTCAATTAAACTGATTGAAAGATTATGTCTTCATCATATGAAAATCAAGTACAATCCCTCCCGTAAGGGGTTTAGTATCATACCATCATAAAATATATGAGAAGAACATAACCCGTATCATGCCAATAACTAAACCTGATTACTCAAAAACTAGTTAAAAGATATTTTGTGAATTTGTTATAGCCTGACTAGACTCATAACAATGTAGAGTTTTACATTTGGTTTAGAATATTGTTTACTGATAAAGACAGGCTTCTGGTTTTATTCTGTTTCAGTGTTTTGTCTCATTGATGTTAATCACACATATGTCTATTTATTTGTTTGTTCCCTAATCAATGACAGGGTAATTTAGGCTTCCTTTTTTTCAGTTGTGTTTTAGTGTTCTGTAATACTGATGTATCTGAATTTTGCATTTTTCTGGTTAAATCTGAATTATTCATTTTTCTGGTTTGATCTTAATTATGCATTTTACCATGTAATATTTTGTTTTTATATTGTTTGAGATAATCCGAAAAGAATTGAGAACAAACAAAACAAGATATACTGTGAGCTTTTGGTCATTAATTATATCCATGCTAAAGTGAAAAGAACTGATAATAGTCATGTTATATGAAATAACCAGATGAAGATGAATGCTTTACTTTAAACGGTTATGACTGGCAGTTGCTGAGAGCAAGAAGTTGCATGTGTTGTTGTGCTAAGCATATTCTACTTGTAATTCAAAGTATTAGCAAACCAGAAGTAGGTGTCTGACAGATAAAAATAAATGGAGAATGTGTCCATGGGACACAGATGATGCCCCGACTTGCATATAACGTTATAAAGGAACATAACTAGAGAACTGTAAAAGTGACGCCACCAAAATACAACTTGATCTGTGTTTTATTGTTATAAGCATTGTGTAAAAGTTTCATAACATTTGGTTGAGGCAAACTAAAGTTAGAGAAAGGAAACCAATTTTGGGAGGTACGTAAGGACAAATGGACGTACGGACAGACAAGGGTAACACTTAATGTCCCCTTCACCTAGAGGCGGGGGCGTAATAAGTGCTCATTCATTTGAACTTATCACTGTCAAGCTGCTGACCAAATACTGTGGATTCATTATTATTCGTTTGATACCAATTTTTATGGATTTCGTGGGTACAGCTGAACCACGAATTTGAAAATTCAATGAAAACACAAATTTCTATATGAATGTATGCAGACTTTGGCAAAACCAGGAATTCAAGTATCCACGAAATTGTAAGTTTACCTCAAACCATGAAAATTGGTACCCACGAAAATAAATGAATCCACAGTATAAAATAATTTTGTTCTGAAATAGTACTGGAGAAATTTTGGACAAAATATTAAGTTCATTTAACGTATTCAAAGTATTGGCAAACAGGAAGTAGGTGTCTGAAAGATACAAAAATAGCTCACAACTCATCACTGGCATGCTGTAGACCAAATATGAAGTCATTCTTTTCAGTAGCACCTAAGCAAAAAATGGGACAAAAATATTTGCTGAATGAAAGGACAAATGGATTGATGGACAAGGTGATTAGAAAATGCAACAGAAATGTGTTATGGACAGACAGATTCTAAGTATCAGAAAACCTGAAATAGGTGTCAGACAGATCTGAAAAGGCGCTAATACATTACATGGGTATGGATTTTGCTCATGGTTGAAGGCCATACCGTGACCTATAGTTGTTAACTTCTATGTCATTTGGTCTCTGGTAGAGAGTTGTCTCATTGGCAATTATACCACATCTTCTTATTTTTATACACGCATTACAACTCATCATTGTCAAGTTGCTATGGACAGACAAATGGGGGACAAACGGACTGTCAAGTAATTGCAATATATCCCCAAACTAATAGAAGGGGAGTACAAAAAATATGTAATAAGAACCTTTAATACAAGTACATTTGTTTATGTACAACTTTTTATCTAATTATTGTAGGAAGAACTTACCTGATCCCTTGAATCTTATAAGCATACTTAGAAGATCTTCCATAAGCCCATTATCTACAAAAATTATATTTTACAATTTAAAAGAAAAATGAATCAACCTAACAAATAAATACAATTGTGATTTTTTATTTAAATAGTGTTGAATGTTCACTTTATACAAACATGGTCTTAAAATAAAGTTTCAAATTTGTGGAATAGAAAATATCTATTTGAAAATAAAGTGTTTAAAGAAACTTCAATGATTTATGGTATTAACAATAGTAGTTTTCATATAAATTGCATTTATATCTTCAAGTAATTATGTCAATTTCTGAATGTAACAAAGCCTAACAGGAAAAGAAAATACAATAAAAATTAACCTACCAAGTTTTGGACTGCAGAAAGCCTCTGTCATAATCATCAGCTGATAGAAAAGAAGTCCCAAAACTAACATCATCTTTTCTCAAGGAAGGGAAATAACTCGAGCAACTCCAAGAAATGCACTTAGAATTGAACAATATGTTAAGATTACTTTCCATAATTAAGCTGTCATACATGTTGCATGTTTACAGTAAATTTGTAATTAAATATGGTTAATTACTTTTTCGCATGATATTCATGGAACAGATTTTTTATTTCTAAAGGTCATTCTGTTCTAAAGTTCTACTTTAGATAGTAGTTATTTTCTTATTTCCAAGAATTATACTAAACTTCATTTTGTCTTTATAAACAACAATTACAGCTATCTAACAGTTCTTGTTGAATCTTGTTTTTTCTTGGAGGATAATTTTTTTTTGTGATTCAAATTTTAATTTAAAATGTGCAAAAGATCATTATTTCTAAAACATTGAAGTTAAATGAAATATACCAAGCTAATTAAATATATGAAACTCCTCATAAAGTAGTGTATTGAAACTGTTCAAAAACACAAATAAGATGCGAACAAGGGATGTAATCTTGTTAAAACAAGAATAAAACTTCTTGATCAATTAGAGTTATGGTAGAAAGTCAATCTAATGGCAGAATAATATTAAATTGACCTTTTTGAACCTGGATACATATAATCGTTCTCATAACACAGTTTTATTTTGCATTGACATAAATAGTACTTGACATGACAAATTTCTTTCAACAAACTATACATATGATATATGTCAAAAATATATATCAGGATGCGTTAAAGTATAAAAAGAAGATGTGGTATGATTGCCAATGAGACAACTCTCAACAATAGACCAAATGACACAGAAATTAACAACTATAGGTCACCGTACCGCCTTCAACAATGAGCAAAGCACATAAAGGTTTATTAGTAGTATTATTTTCTTCATAAAGTATGTGTAAACTCTAAATAAAATTCACTTCTCTATTGAACTTTATTAACATGCAAAACAAACATATTTTATTAGTATCTTAAAAAAAATAATTATATCATTCACGAGATTTTATTATGTAGTAGTGTAAATATGTTAATAAGTACTTTAAAAGATAACTACTTGATGCAGTAAGGATTTTTTTCTTATTTCCCCGATTTTTAGCACTAGGCTAGATTGGGTGTCCCAGTGATCAAATATTACTGAATGTATAAATAAACTGTTAACACAGAGATATGTCTCGCCTATTTGTTATTTTGATAATGCAAATGTTGAAATTTAAATAGCAATACTTTAACATGTAAGTTATGCAAATATTCAAAGTCAATGAACCATGACTGAAGGTACAGGGCTAAACAATCTCCATGGAAATGAGATGTGCCAATGCTAATACAACTGCAAACCAAAAACCATTGACTTTTCATAAGTCGTTCCCTTTAAACAAACCTAAACACAAACAGTAACTTGTAAACTATGTAAAAGTTTCAAAGTCAAGAAACCATAATTAGGGGGTGGGGTTATATAATCTCCATGGAAATGAAACTTGCAAATGCCAATACATTTGCATACTGAATATCATTGACTTAACATTAGTGGTTCATCTTAAACTGACCTAATCACAAACTAATACATGTAAACTAAGCAAAAGTTTCAAAGTCAATAAACCATGACTGAGGGGTAAGGACCAAATATTCTCCATGGAAATGAGATGTGCTAATGCTTATACAACTGCATACCAATTATCATTGACCTACCACTAACAGTTCCCCTTAAACTGACCTAATCACAAACTAATACATGAAAACTAAGCAAAAGTTTCAAAGTCAATATACTATGAATGAGGGGGCGGGGCCAAATAATCTCCATGGAAATGAGATATGCCAATGCTTATACAACTGCATACCAAATATCATTGACCTACCACTAGTGGTTCCCCATAAAGTGACCTAATCACAAACTAATACATGTAAACTAAGCAAAGTTTCAAAGTCAATAGACCTTGACTGAGAGGGTGGGGCAAAATAATTTCCATGGTAATGAGATGTGCCAATGCTAATACAACTGCATACCAAATATCATTGACCTACCACTAGTGGTTCACCATGAACTAGACCTAATCACAAACTAATACATTGTTGACGCCGCCGCCGCTGCCGACGCCGGAAACAGCATACCTATGTCTAGCTTTTTGACTCCGTCAAGGCGAGACAAAAACTATCAAATGCAACAGAAAAAGGAATATTAAAACTACAAGACTGGATCCTTCAAATGAAGCCAATCAGCTTTTACAAAGGCAACAAGTCTATATATATTTTAGTGCGCAAAAACAACATGCAATATTTTCTTCACCATTCATTGATAAATAAATAACTAACCGTACTTACTGTTTTGCTAAATTTCTAAATCCTAGAGCAGCAAAATATGAAGCAAACCCTAAAAAATGTAAGATATGATTTTACTATAAAATTTAAAAGATCAGAATACTGAATTTTGTTACCCAATGAAATATTTATTTAACATTTATGTATCTCAAAAATTCTTTTAAGTTGGAAGAGAACAAAACAATCGAATTTTCTAATTTTTTTTTTTTATACAGTTTGAATTTTCAAAATAATAGAAAAAAAATAGCATCAAGCAAATAACAAGGCTTTTATAGCATGTTATGTGGTATGGGTTGTGCTTATTGTTGAAAACTGTACGGTGACCTACAGTTGTCAGCTTCTTCATCATTTGGTCTTTGGTGGACAGTTGTTTCATTAGTAATCATACCACATCTTCTTATTTTCATATTTTACGTGTAACTTTGCAATACATTTGTATAGTGTTGTTACTGTTGTGTAAGGTACAATTTGTATGTTGTAAGAATACACATTGAAATGAAATTCCAAATATTGTTGAACTTTCTTGCAAAGTTACAAAGGAACAGACCTTTTACAAGTCTACTGAACACAAGACCATTAAAACAAGTGACCGAGTGAAAATGTTAATAAGGTTACTGCAAATCAGGTGCTTCCATACCAGTGATACATAGTACATGCTATGTCCTCGCACCAATAATACATTAAAAAGTAATATGATTTTTCGTTTGAATTGTTTTTTATGGCATTTCAGGGCCTTTTATAGCTTACTATACAGTATGGGGTTTGCTCATTGCTGAAGGCAATACGCTGACCAATAGTTAACTTCTATGTCATTTGGTCTCTGGTGGAGAATTGTCTCATTGGCAATCATAACACATCTTCTTATTTTCATATAAGTTTGAAAATATACACAATTTACTTACCTCCTGGTAAAGGGAAGGCCATCTCATTACAAACTCTTTGATATCTCTCAAACATTTGAAATAATTCATACTCGTCCTCAGAGGTCGGATCTGTCCTGGTAATTTTTTCAAAAAAGTACTATTATCAATATCCATTTTGTCAACAAATTTCTTTTCTTTTTTGAAAGAAAAAGGTAAAAATACATGTATATAATCTTTACCCCTGATATCTGAAAACTTATAAAATAAATACCGAGAGATTTAAATAATAAGTATTTATAGATTTTAATGAAATAAAACTTTATATGTGGACCATAGAACAATTAACTATTTTGATTGCTCATAATATCAAGAAAATTGATTTCAATCAAAAGCAAAAACTTCTTAGACAATGTTAGTAACTCACAAATGTGGTAAATAATCCAAATCAGTGTATGGTAGAAGTGGTCCCCTTAGATTCCATAACAGATGACACAGTTGTCTTGATTGTTGTACCTAGAAAAATAAAACAATAATCTAAATCTGTGTATGGTAGAAGTGGTCCCCTTAGATTCCATAACAAATGACACAGTTGTCTTGATTGTTGTACCTAGAAATATAAAACAATAATCCAAATCTGTGTATGGTAGAAGTGGTCCCCTTAGATTCCATAACAAATGACACAGTTGTCTTGATTGTTGTACCTAGAAATATAAAACAATAATCCAAATCTGTGTATGGTAGAAGTGGTCCCCTTAGATTCCATAACAGGTGACATAGCTGTCTTGATTGTTGTACCTAGAAATATAAAACAATAATCCAAATCTGTGTATGATAGAAGTGGTCCCCTTAGATTCCATAACAGGTGACATAGCTGTCTTGATTTTTGTACCTAGAAATATAAAACAATAATCTAAATCTGTGTATGGTAGAAGTGGTCCCCTTAGATTCCATAACAGATGACACAGTTGTCTTGATTGTTGTACCTAGAAATATAAAACAATAATCCAAATCTGTGTATGGTAGAAGTGGTCCCCTTAGATTCCATAACAGATGACACAGTTGTCTTGATTGTTGTACCTAGAAATATAAAACAATAATCCAAATCTGTGTATGGTAGAATTGGTCCCCTTAGATTCCATAACAGATGACACAGTTATCTTGATTGTTGTACCTAAAAATGTTCGACAGTGCTGTAAATTAAGAAATTAATATATGCATCTATTATTGTGAATCCTTGACCTCTGGAAAACAATGTGATTGCAGAAATTTTGAAAATCAATACTGAAATTATAAAAGGTAGTTTTTATTATTGCAAAAATGATACTGTCGCATTTTTTGCATTACAAAAAACATCGCAATAATTTCTGAATTTACAGTATTCTAAATAAAAACAATATAAAACAATTATGTTCACTATACACTCAAGTATGTTAAAAATGTTCTTAAGGGTTCCACGGAACACAGTGTCTCGCCTACTTTTGCTGTTGTCTTTGTTTTCAGTGTGATAGGGGAATGCACATAATAGATTTACAGTTTATGAAATAAAACGTTTGAAATGTATGAAAAAAGTTATGATTGTAAAAAATGAATACAGTATGCAATCAAATCTATAGATTTATAAAAGAGTTGAAACATAAGTTTATTGAATGAACAAATGATAAAGAAGATAATTTTTACATTGCTTGATGATTTATCCCTTAATTCATCAATAAAAATTCATGTAAATAGAAGATGCAAAAAGTAGAATATATGTGCTAATAAGAAAATTGTGTGTTATAGGAAATATGGGAAGCATTTTTTTCCTCATAAACAACATTTTCAATGATTATAGAGTCAATTAAAATAAAATGTCCAAGTTTGGTAAAAATCCAGGATGGTTTATGAATCTAATAAATGTTTTAAAAACTTTAACTGCAGACTGTATGTAATTTTACCTGGAAGAAAAACTAAGTTCATTTATAAGTAATATACGGAAAAACAGGAAATAAATTTTTACAAAATTTCCTTCTAGATACTAGCTTTTGATCATAAACAAGCTTCTGTTCAAGTTTGGTACAAATCCAGGATAGATTAAGAAAGTTATTAAACTTTTTAAAACTTTAACCACAGAGTGAATGTAATGTTAACTGGCAGAAAAACTAAGTCCATTTATAAGTAATATACGGAAAAACTGGAAATAAATTTTTACAAAATTTCCTTCTAGATACTAGCTTTTGATCATAAACAAGCTTCTGTTCAAGTTTGGTACAAATCCAGGATAGTTTAAGAAAGTTATTTAAATTTTAAAAACTTTAACCACAGAGTGAATGTAATGTTAACTGGCAGAAAAACTAAGTCCATTTATAATTAAAAATATGGATAAACACAATTTTTTTTTTTACAAAATTTACTTCTGGATACTATCTTATGATCATAAACAAGCATCTGTCCAAGTTTGGTCGAAATCCAGGATAGTTTATGAAAGTTATTAAAATTTCTAAAACTTTAACCACAGAGTGAATATTTGTGGATGCCGCCGACGGAATGTAGGATCACTATGTCTCGCTTTTGCGACAAAAGTCGCAGGCTCGACAATAAATCATAAAATAACTATCAGTACATCAGAAATATGAGCACTTTTGGTCCAAAAATGCAAAAAGAGTATGGTAACATTTCTTTTCAACTAGTGATCTGACCTCACATTTTTTTTGTTCTTTAAACTATAGATATCTTTATGATTAGCTCTCCAGGGCTTATATCTGGACCTGACTGCTCTACACCTATCTTTGGATCCAAAAATTATAAATAACTCTTAAAGTTAAATGTCAGAATATACCACATGCTGATAGGTAAAGTTATTTTAGTTTAATTGATTATTAATAATAATGTATTAATAGTCATGACCTTATGATTACTACGTCTATTCATTTAATTTAGTACCTGGCAACTAACATATTCCTTGGCTACATTCTGTGCTTTAGTTTTTGCATCTTTTCTTAGATATTTTCCTAAGTGTTGAGCTAACAGTTCTTTTGTCTAAAAATAATGCATATACAAGAATAAATGCAAACACAATCACAAATGAAACTGTTTACCAATTTTTAGTTCATTGCATAAAAGCTGGAAAAAAAATTGTAAAAAACAAAATGATTATGCTATTCCATGAAAAATGTGTAACAATAGATTAAAATCAAGTGACAAAAAACATGATTATATCATACAAGCATCCGGAAATTTTTGCATTCAATTTCAGTCATTTTGAGATGACCTGAAAGTTGGGGTCCTTTTTTCAAACTGTCGAAAATATTCATAAATTAACGGTATCAATGAACTTGTATTGACACAGTTTCATCGCATTTACTTCATGAAGTTTCTTATTGTTTTTCTAAAACTTTTCAAGACCAATTTTTGGAATGCAACATTAAAAAATTGAAATGATTTAAATGACTTAAATCAGTATTTTTCTCAGGTATTGCTAACACTACTTTGGATTTTGTAGACTAAATAAAAACTGGAAGTTTTAAGTTAATACTACCGGTAATTAACAAAAGATTTTTGATTTATTTTCAAGATTCGTTGTTTATCAAATGACAGGAAATCATCTAATTTTTTATTTTATAGTCTCTAGAAGGATCTGGCCTGACCTGAGGTGGGATATTAAGTTACATACCAGTGTTATTAGTTTTTCAGAGTCTGTAGATATAGTATTGCCCTGCAGGAATGGTGGTGCTAACCCTAATACTGTGTCTGGCCTGACCTGTGCACTGCCACTGAATAAACTGGACACAGGTGCAGGTGATTCTGATCTAAAATAATAAGACCTGACACACTGCTTAAAGCAATATTGGAATACCACCAGTATATCAATTATTCTAAAAGGTAAAAAATAATGAAACTAATGTGAAATTTAGAAATAATTTTAGACAAGTTCTTGTTGGCCAACCAAGTATTTAGTTTCTTACTAGACTAGACATTATCCAGAAACCAACATGGCAAGATTGTATTTTGACGTCCTTTAGATGTATTTCAACTTTTGTGTCATTAGGTTGCTATTTCATCGATGTATACCTAACATTTCCATTTACTCGTATAAATATGAAAAGGATGTCATGCAATTTGAAAACTCTGAGAACACAAAGAATCCATATAAATAATAGTGTCATGTACTGTAAATAAAAACAAATCTTATCCAACACTTATATCTAAACCATATTACATATAAAATAACATGAGGTCAAGGTCATGTGATATCTGTAAGAGCTGTATTTGTACCAACATCCACAAGATATAATAAAGACTTTCAACTTTATTAGTACAACAGACCCCTCACAAGGTCTAGCATACCTTATAATATGTATCTTTTAAGTTTTTACCTTCCTAAATTTGAATGGAAACTGGTAAGAAAACCTATATGATCATCTGAACTTTTATTGAGAGTTTCTGTTTGGCCCTAAAAGAAATAAAACATGCAATGTAACAAGACTACTTATATCATTAATTGATAAAACATGTGAAATGATACCAAAATTTTAGGATTTTGACACATGCTAATTTAGAATTGCTGCTTTCCAACCTATTAATTATGTGCATTAAAAATAGCGTTAAATTCATAAAAATCACATGGTTACACAAGCTTCCAACAGAATATATTAACACATGGTTTTTAGCAATACATTTGCTACATTGTTATCAGTCAACTTTGAATTTTTTAGATCTTTTGATTGGTTAATGTATTTGTTTCTAGTTTTCTACACCAAATATATGGGTCAATATGCCAAATTCATTTTATGAACGTTGTAAAAGTAATATTTTATTTTGTCCAAATGATAAACTTGATTATACATGATGGCTTGTTTCTAAGCAGAGACATTAACATGTATATTGTTTCATTCTAAGAGTATAACATCTAGTCAAATTTTTCATTTTACTTTGGATTCATCTATTTTTCGCGGATACCAATTTTTGTGGATTGAGGAACAATTGTATTTTCATGGATATTTGATTTTCGTGGTTTTGCAAAAGTTTACTTACAAATCTATACAAAATTTATAATTCTTGGTGGTATCCCACGAATAATAATGAATCCACAGTGAGCAAACCACTATTAAAGAGCCCTTAGTGATACAACATCTAGAGTGAAAAATCCAAATTTTCAAGAATGAATCATCCTGAACATGCATGAAATATTTGCCACTGGAAGTTAAGGAACCAACAATCAATCAATCAACAATGAAATTCGTTGCAAACACTTTGTCTATAACTTCATAATTTATACATCTTTATTTTTTGGTCCTCTACACAGAGTGCAAACCATAGTTCCCTTATACTGTGCTGGTTAGGAACTTATAGCTCTTATATTTTCTGTGATCATTATTTCCATACCATTTCAATGTCTCTTTTCTTCTTCATAAAAGCCTTTTGAACAACTTTTTGAGAAAATCTATTTCCACTCTCAATTTGTTTCAGTCGTAAATGCCTTCTGAGTGTGTCCCACAAGTCTTCATCAGCTCCGCCTGGTTTTTTCTGTCTTTCTTTAGCTGTTTTAGTAATTATATTTATACTTTGTAATGTTGAGTATGATAACCTGGCCAACCTTTCTCCATCTTCTGTCTGATAAAGACAAAGTAAAATTATTACAATAACAAGATATTTAAAGGTATGATTATATATAGACCATCAGTATTTCGTCTATTAATATTATAATCAAGAAATTGACCTAATAAGAAAAACTTTATGTTAAGCAATGAACCATGCCATTCTAGTGAACCATATTTGATGGACATACACATCTAACAAAGCTTCTCAGAAACCAAATAGTGCTGACAAATACTTTATAATGAAGAAAGTGACATAATCACAAAAACCAAATGTTCAGCAATGAACCATTATACATGTAATATGAAAGGTTTGGTAAGCCCTATCTCATAAGAACAAAAGACATCTCTAAGCAATATATAATCATCAGTTCTAGCTATTGTTAAGCTTCATACAAATTGTGTATGTTGTGGCTGCCAGATTTGCATTCTGTCTTGCATTTGAATGATGTAGGTGAGACAAAAATGAGAAAGGATTTACATCTAAAGAGCACTAATATAGTAAACTGGTAAAGAATTAGTTTTGATTCAATAGGCCCAAATATGACCTCTATTTCTAGCTTTAGTTTCAAATTAAGATTTAACAGCCATTAACACAGTATCATAATTTTTTTTTAAAATTAGACAGGCAAGATGAAAGCAATTAGCCCCACTCCTAAAGTAGGGTCTAAAAATAATAAAAAATATAACTATCCTGCTCTTAGGCTTGTACATGATTACTAGTTCTGGTATAAAACAAAATTCAGTGAAAATTAAACAATAAACACAAAGCATTCTCTGACCTTTTCAATTTGACCTCTAAATGTTTCAGCCATAGAAAATGGAAACTGTTTAAGTATTTCTCTATCTGTTTGTCTTCTCATATTGGAGTATGTAGTTCCTGGAATAAAAATAAGGTACACAGCAAGAATTGCATACCCGTTTTTCATGCATAAAACGCATGTTGAGGATTTGCAAGTAAAATGCATGTAAGAAACATATGAATTACGTATGTTAAACACACATAAAACATGCGTCGATGTAAAACATGCGTTGCACTTTTTTGCTGTGTATATGACTTTCATCCATGTTAACAAAGTAATGGAGATCCCAATCAAATTTAAAAAAATTAAGATATCCTTTCTTATTTTTTACACTATTTCAATGTAAAAAATGTTACAGTAAAAGAAGACATTAGACCTCTTGATGTCTTTTATTGTTTGGTGTTGTTCGCTTGTGGACTCATTAATGTATACACCACATCCTTTTTTATTCACCTTATCGTAAATTTATTTATTTAAATAAATGGGGAATGTGTCCATCGGACACAGATGATGCCCCCGCTCGCATATAACCTTATAAAGGGACATAACTCAAGAACGGTAAAAGTGACACTACCCAAATTTGTACTTGATTTGAGTTTTGTGGTAATAAACATTGTGTATAAGTTTCATAACATTTGGTAGAGGCAAACTTAAGTAAGAGAATAAAAACGAGGATTTGGCAATTTTTCCATTTGTAAAAGGGGCATAACTCTAGAACAGAAAAAAGTGAGGCCACCAAAATTCAAACTTGATCTGTAATTTGTGGTAATAAGCATTGCACATAAGTTTCATAACATTTGTTTGAGGCCAACTGAAGTTTGAGAACAGAAACGAAATTTCAGCAATTTCTCCATTTGTAAAGGGGCATAACTCTAGAAAGGTAAAAGTGACGCAACCAAAATTCAAACTTGATCTGTGTTTTGTTGTAATAAGCATTGTGTATAAGTTTCATAACATTTGGTTGAGACAGACTAAAGTTAGAGAACGAAAACAAAAAATTGAGCAATTTTTCCATTTGTAAAGGGCATAACTCCAGAACAGTAAAAGTGACGCCACCAAAATTCAAACTTGTTCTGTGTTTAGTGGTACATTGTATAAAGCATTGTGTATAAGTTTCGTAACATTTGGTTGAGGCAAACTAAAGTTAGAGAACAGAAACCAATTTCGGGACGTACAGACGGACAAGGGTAAAACGTAATGCCCCCGCATCTACAGAGGGGGTATAAAAATTTCAATAGAATAAAGAAGATCCCTGAAAACAACCTGGGACTTTTTTCACAAACAAATCTTCAGAGTAAAAATACTTTTAAGTCATTAACAGTACAGTATAACTTATGATCAATATTAATCGTAATATATTTTGTGAAAATATAATTGCTGCATCTACAGTGTGTCACGAAAGCTCTTTTACTTTCTTTAACAGCAACCCAATGATATAAATAACCAAGACATATATGACATATAGAGGTATAAAATTACCTCAAGATTGCTTGATTTCAGAGTATAAAATCTTGTCTTCACTATATCTATCTTTTACTTATCATTGTATATTTATACCTGTTAAAAATTCAGACATTAAGACGGGAACTTCCCTGCTTGGAATGTCATTACTTAGCATCTCAAACAACTGAAATTTGAAATATATATCTGTGTTATCAGCATGAATGAGATAAATCCATGTACTGTGGATTCATTTAATGCTTTGTACACAATACGATCTATAGCTGAAAGATACATGCACATGAAATATACCTACAATGACCAGTTTGACAGTACACCTATGAACATATTTTCTCATATCTGCTGTTCTTAAAAATAAATTCCAAATTTTTTACCTAAGTTGAGCCATTTGACATAGAAAAAGTTTAAACAGAAAAACATGGATGAACCAAATCCGTATATAACTGAATATGATTAAACAGTTTAATAACCACAGAATTTTCACTGAATGTCCTGATACCAGAGTTTAGATTAGACAGGTTCCAAGTTAACACAGTGTATGCAAATCTTCATATAGAGGAAGTTTTTATAAAAAATGCTAATAAATCAATATCAATTTATTAAAATTTAAACAAAGTACATCTTAATGTATAATATTAGCCAATAATCCATCTTATTAAACTACTGTACATTTCATTGATTGACCTAAAGTAGTTTAATGCCACATCAGCACACATGGATGCCTCAGCGAGAAATTTTGATTATTTTAAGTACATTGTGTATAATAAAAATTCATGCAAATGACTAATCATAAATATAATATCAATGTTTAATTTGAGAAATGATTACTGCAAATTCTGAGACTATTGTATTGTTTTTATTTTTGTGAAAATTGTGATGGGATAGGTTTGGCAAATAAAGAGCTGCGCCCATCGCTTTTTCAACGAATAAAGTTCCATAATTCTTCAATGTCATATCAGAAATTTATAAAATAAAGAGCTGCGCCATGAGCGCATGATACGTCCGTCGCATTTCAAAGAATAAAGTTCCATAACTTCTCAATGTCATACCAGAAATTTATAAAAAACTAAAGGGAGATTATTTCAATAGATATAAACCAGTCTCCAAAGTTTCATAAAAAATTATTAAAGCGCTTTTTGAGTTATTGTACGAAAACTGGAAAATCCCCCCTTTTTTATGAATGAAATCCCATAACTCAGAAATGTAAAATGTATAAAAAATCTAAAGAAATCTTACGTCAATAGATATAAACAATTCACCAAAGTTTCATGAAAATTGGTTAAATCATTTTTGAGTTATTGTCCGACAAGTTGAGGACAAAGGGACGGATTACGGTATACTATAATACATCCCGTAAACATGCGTATAAAAATATAAACTCGCATTTTAATTTTGATAGCATTGTTTTTATGCATCATTGACTGCAATCACAATAATAAATCTGGCATTTTGTCCATTGTTCAAAAATAACTAAAAACAAAAAGCAAAAATTGGTGAATTTACAGTATTAAAAAATAAAAGAAAACCCATAGTAGAAATTAATACATATGGCATATACTAAACAACAGTTGAATGAAGGGAGTATTGTAATGGGTTATTTTCAATTCCATTTGAATGAAACTGTACAAAATAAATAAATGGGGAATGTGTCCATGGGACACAGATGATGCCCCCGCTTGCATATCATATAAAGTTATAAAGGGGCATAACTCTAGAACAGTAAAAGTGACACCACCAAAATTCAAACTTGATCTGTGTTTTGTGGTAATAAGCATTGTGTATAAGTTTCATAACATTTGGTTGAGACAAACTAAAGTTAGAGAATGGAAAAAAACAAATTCAGCAATTTTACCATTTGTAAAGGGGCATAACTCTAGAACATTTAAAGTGATGCCACCAAAATTCATACTTGATATGTGTTTTGTGGTAATAAGCATTGTGTATAAGTTTCATAACATTTGGTTGAGGCAAACTTAAATTAGAGGGCGGACAAGGGTAAAACTTAATGCCCCCTCCGTTACGGCGGGGGCATAAAAATTCAATCTGTTTAAGATTTTGCATGATTTACCTACCCTTTTAACAAGCCAGAAATCTCTCATTCTAAGTAAGACAAAGTGAAGTAATGCTGATCTTGTAGTTGGCATATAACAAGCAGAGAACATATTAACTAAAGAGTCTTTATTGGTCTCTACTTTCCAAACCAGACCTGTTCTGTAGTCAAACAAACAGCCAACTGAAATAGTTGAAACATGGTTAAATGTATATATTCAATTATATTTTGTATAGAAGAAAAACATGTATAATCACTGTTTGGTTAAGTCATACCAAAAAATAGTTGAGGATAAAAATGAAGATAAAATTTTTCTTCTTTATTTTGACGACTGCAATGCTTGTACTTTGCATACTATTTGCTCTTTTAGATATCTGTTTCAAAAATGTCACACAAAGAATAACCCTGACTACATCAGACCATGTCTGGTGAATTTTTTCAAAGGGTTTTAAAAAATGATTTTTAACTGATATTTTCTTCAGGTAATATATAAAGTTAGGTTAAGAAGTAGAAGGCCTATTAATTATTGAATGCAGTAATTTGGCGAGAATCTGATAAGGACCACCCATTCCTATCATTTTTCTGGAGGTAGTTTGAACATTCTGATCATCAGGCAGTACTGTATTCTGGTATGCTGTGTTCACTATTTTTGAAGACTTCAAAAATACCTAAAGATGTTGTGATTAATGTGTTAATTATGAAATTTTTAAATGGCCTGAAAAGGTTCATGTTGCTTATGTCTCTAAACTCTTTCCAATTCTAAAGATTCCAATTTCATATTCAATACACAGTTACCTGTAGGTGTCTCTCTCAGTACATCATAGAGACAGGATGATGACAGGTGGAATGTATCTTTTGCCAGGGGAGATAATACAGGTATAACATCAGTACTGGTTACCACTATATTCTTTGGGAGAGTCCCAGTAGAATCATCCTCATTTGTAATAGTAGATTGGATGTTGACAATTTTATCTGAAATTATTTGAATGCACAAACATGGGTTGCATTACCTAGAATAGATTTTTTGTCTACAATTACTAGGCATTACACGTCAAGCTTTACCAAAGAAGATGCCACATTTAGCATTAGGAATTCTTATATCTTTTGTCCTAAAAAGAAAAAATGGCCACAAGTCTTCATCAGATAACTGTGAAAATTCAGAAAACTATGAAAATTCCAATATCTTTGATTTAATGAGAAAAACATGTTTACATAATTGATGCTGTAACAAAGCTTAAATTCTCATCAAATAGTTTAATTCCATGATACTATAGTTTACTTATTCATTTAACTTATCTTATATGGATATATAGAAATGGAAAGTCTATCTGTTAATGCCTCCTTTAAATTTCTGACAAACAATAACATTTTATACTGAAATAATCTTTGATCATTACTTACCATGTAGTAAAATGTGATGACAAGGTTCAAACTCAATACTAACATTTAACATGTGGATAAAGTAACCAGGAAGTAATACCATTAAATAGTCTCCTGTTAATATCAACAAATAGTTTATTACAGCCTTTTGGTATCAAAAGATATCACTCTGGGTAGTCCATATTTGCGTAAATATTTTGTCCAGAGTGAAACACATTACATTATAAAAACAGGTCGTTGTACGAGTCATCAAAGTTAGACAATAAAACAAATGAGAAGCATATTTTCAAATTAAAGATAAAAGATAAATCATAATATAAAGTTAATAACAATCAGTATAGAAGAAATAAATGAATATAAAGGGATGAAAGGACAGCAAATTGATGACAAAGGCTCACCTTGAATGTTATCCAGGCGACCTAAAAAGGACAGATTTGCAGATTTATAGATATAAAGAACCAACTATACTAACCATGCCAGGAAAAGTGAAGTCTGTGTCTCCTTGAGAATGGCACACCTGATACACATCCATGGAGAACCTTAGCTGTAAAACAAAAATTAAAAATTGAAAAAATGAAAATCATTACTACAATTAACTTTAAAACAAATATTTTGATGAATATATTTACCTGTACAAAAGCTTACTACATATAAATATGAAAAGTTTTTGAATAAGTATATATATGTGACAATCATCTATCCCACAAAAGAATTTCTATGTTCTGTTCACTATAATGACATATAGAACAGTTCTTATATAAAAGAAGAATGTGTCTAAGGACATGAATGCCCCCCCCCCCTCAAGCTTTGCAACAAAAATGGGACAGACAAACAGGGGGAAAGAGGGATGGTCGAGGGTAACACTTAATTCCCATAAAAATAGCCCAAACTTTCCAAATGTTGTGTCCTGCATAAAAAATAACGCTCCTTTTCATAGTTAAGGAACACCATGACATCAAGACTGAGCTTTCTGTCCTTACAACATGTACAGATGGTGCTGTTAACAATGATAAAGGTTTTATAAATCGTTTTATATGGATGCATGTTTTAAAATGCACAAATAATTTTCAAAATTAACATCGGAAAAAGGTTTTTGTTGTAGTTATCTACAGCACAATATGGAAGATTTATCTATCATTGGTACTGAGAGAGTGGATGGCAAAGAAATGTTCCAAAAAGTCTAAAACAATTTGGGAGATTAAAAATATGTTTAGAATGTTACTCACACTAGTATTTGATATGTTTTAGGGAGCCTCTATTTGAATGCTAGTAAGGAATAGTGAAAGTTACTGATTTCTTAAAATTATCAATACTTTGGAGTAAGAGGAGATAAAACAGACACAATATTCAAAATCTACTTGTTTTGGGATGAGATGAATGTCCAGGACTGCTGCAAAAATTCCAGGTGCTGTTATTCCGTGAAAGTCAAGAAAACTGTAAGACGTGTTTCAATAAATAAACAATCTCCAGTAAAAAATGTATTATATTTCTCAATTCTGGCCTAGATATAAAATTTCAAGATGAAAAAATTTATTGGTGATAAATCTCTAGTTTGATTTTTATACATCTACGACATATTCCCTCTTTTTAATCACAAAAAATGTGTTTTGGTCAATGACAAATTCTTCCTACCATGATGCACCATGCTGATATAGTAGTTGATCTCTGTTACTTCATCCTCAGACTCTGATACACTAGATAAATTAAAATTTCCACTGGATGTCAACCATGCTTGATTATTCTGGTTATTCTATGGAAAAAACATAACATGAGAAAACAATTCTGGTAGTACATGCAATTCTATTGGTCGAACAATAAAACTTGAGTATTAAGTTCAGATAAAAGAACTGTATAGATAATGCCGAACATAGGTTCATAACTGGCTCACAATTTTGATAAAACATATAATCAGCAATTTGTTTATTTTCCAATTTATCTTACTGCCTAAAAGTTTTCTTTATCATGGACAGATCCTGATATTCCAAAATATTAGGCAATATAACAGTGCAGCAACATCAGACATTTATCCATTAGATATCTGGCTTTCAGGAAATAAATTTTTTTGTTGTTGTTTTCTTGCTCTTTCACTAAATACTGTAAAATCTGGTTTGCAGCAAAATTTGTTTAACTTCTAATAAAATGAACACATTTGTGCAAAAGTTATCTCCTATAAGAATGTCTTATATTTTTCGATTAATGGACAAGTCATTTGATGGAATTTTATATAAAACATATCTTATACATATCTTAAAGAATAAGATATCACGTTTAAAAAGCAAGTGCATTTCAAAAGGAATTATAATAATAAATTTTCAATTTTGTCAAATGATTACAAATCTTAAAAACATGATATCAACTTAACAAGTGACAAAGGGCTCAGTCTTATGTTCAGTTTAAAATAAATAATAAATTTAAGAACTAATAAATATTACTTTCATTTCTTTCTTAAGTACTTTTTGTATGTCTTGAAAGTTTATCATTTATATTTTTTTTTCCTACGATTTATGAATTTTATTCTCTGACAAGACAAGTGTTTTACTCATTGATTTACTACTAGCACTTAAAAACAAAACATTTCAATTGCCTTATACATATTTTTGTACATTATTAAGGTGTTGAGAGACGACATTGTTATTCAATCATAAGTCAAAGTTATAAATCATATTTAATTAACAATTGAAATTGGTGGTTAAATGATGCCTTTTACAAAATATCCACAAAAATTAGCATCGCTAAGATCAAAATGAGTTCTATTACTTGATTTTTATCTTTGCTTTTCATCGTAACATTTTTTAATAAAAATCAATTGAATTGTAAATTACATCCTCTGGTGATGTCCTTGACATCCCAATAGATGATGAGTCTGACTGCTCTGACAATGACTTTGGTCTTTCAACTGAGGGTGATGTCCTTGATCTGTCTAAGCCAGGTGAAGTTCTTGACCTGTCAATAGCTGGGGATGTCCTTGACCTATCAAATACAGGTGATGTTCTGGACCTCATTCTGGAAACAGATCTCTCCCTGTTATATGGTGTGTCCATTTGTTGACAACAGATACAAAGCGTTCCATTGTTTTGTGTCAAAACAGCTAAATTAAGAAATTGATCTGAAATATTCAAGCAAATACATTAAAATATAAATGTTCTCATGAAAATAAACTAACATCTGATGAATTTTCACTGTAAATCTTATTATTACATAATGAAATAATCTCCAAATAAAGGTTTTGTAGTGTTTGTGTAGTTTTATTCGGAATGCTAAAACTAATGACCTGTTAAATAGAAAAGAATTAAGGTCAATTCATTCCAAATAGCTTTATAAAAATAGATTTACGTGAAGGACCCTTATTTAAGTATTATTTTGTCAGATTTCCTAGCTGTTAGGCTGTCATATTTTGTATCAACAGTATCCATGTACAGTATATTTCTACATACTATCACACTCTAAATGTGAACCCAGAACTTGGTATATGGTTTTGACTTTTTTTTTAAAAATACTGTCACAAAAGTTGGAGGATTGCTGCCATAATTCCTGGTTTAACTCATCACTTTCCAGGTGAAGATCAGAGACGAGAGTCAAAACAATCTGACAGTCATATATCACTTAAAACATCATTTGATATGTAAAGTGTTTCTCAAAATTATATAACTGTTGAAAGTACTTGCTCATAAAACTGTATTTTTTTTAATATATCATTCAGATGTATTAAATATAAGTTATTATACCTGAAATTCCATTATCAAGGATAGATGAATTGTAAAAAGACCTACAATATAAGAAATCAAAGTACTGAAGTACTGAACATCGGATGACCACAAGTTCTTGAGGATGGTCAAAAGCACTTGTCTCAGAAAAAAACAACATATCTCTTTACCTAAAACTGAGGTTAATGTACAGAGATATATTTTTTTCTGAGACAAGTTCGTGCGTGGATGATGAATAAATGACAGGAAATTCAACTTCACCGTAATAACTAATATATTGTAGTGATACAAATCAGTATACACTGAGTTGTTGTTTATATTATATTAAAATAACAGTTACATATATATATGATTTGAATCCATTTGTATATCATTCTATTCTACTATTCTAAAAATAGTGCAATGCAAGTGCATGGTGGACACTTTTCTGTAAAAATTCGATTTTTCTAAGATTGGATACGAGTAGGCATTCATATTTTCCCGCAAAAACAATTACAGAGTTACCGGTCCTTGACGGTATTTTCACAAAACGTTCTTTGAGATATTCTTCCGCATGCTTTAACACAATTTTTCGGTACGTGTGCATTGATATTATCAATGATTTTTTACTTATATATATATATCTAACTACAAAACATTTTCATATTATTAATTTATGTTGTAAACAAAAATATTTTTATCAGTATTCATTGAAGAGATGTATTTATATCAAACGATAAGGAATGTTATTTTGCACTCGTTTATGTGCGCGTATTTATCATGTTTATAGATCGGTTACAAACCCAAAACTAATTTACATAATGGAAATCTAGGCGATAGCAATACATCGTTAATGACCTCAAGGTCATCGCGATGTAAAAAGGGAGATAAACAGCTGTTGTATTTTTTACATGTAAATCTTACTGCTGTTTTTGTTTCTTTCACAAATACACTTTTGACTTATTTCACATCAATCAATTTTTCAGTGCATGTTAAAGTGATTTCAATAAATGAAGTATTCAATGCAATTTCAAGTAACTAAATTTAAGCAAGAACTATTATTTCCACCTAAATGCAATCTTACACATAATCATGTTTTTAGGTCACTTGGTATCACAGCAATCACATAGAAAAAATCAAAAGTTTGCAGTTTGTTCAAAGTCAGTTTAGTGTAAAAGAGAAATTATGGTTTGGTGCTTATTTGGCCATGTACATTGGTCAAAAATGAAATAATTGTATCTTTAACAATTATTGTTTACATTCTTTATAAATAAGAAGATGTGGTATGAGTGCCAATGAGACAACTCTCCACCCAAGTCACAATGTATAAAAAGTTAACAATTATAGGTCAAAGTACGGCCTTCAACACGGAGCCTTGGCTCAAACCCAACAGCAAGCTGAAAATGACTAGTGTAAAACTATTCAAACAGGAAAAACAACGGTCTAATCTATATAAAAAACGAGAAACACCTATGAACCACACCAACAAACGACAACCACTGAACAACAGGCTCCTGACTTAGGACAGGTGCATAAAAATGCAGCAGTTTAAACGTTTTACCTGTTAAAGGTAGGCATTTATGAAAATGTAAGTATTATGTTAGTCTTGATGATGCAATTTGATAGTGATGTCGTTGAAATGACATCATATTGGAAATTTACACAATGATAGCAAAAAATAGGATAATTTCATGAAAATTTTGACTAAATTAGAATAAAGCACAAAAATCGGCCAAAAGGGTAAACAGTTAAGTATATAGCATCCTTAACACACTGGTGACATTTTTTGAATATTATGAATATTAGCAGGAGATTGTAAATTCCTCTCAGGAGGGTTTAATTATTTTTTTTCGTGTTATTATATATTCAATTTTTAAATAACTATATTATTTATGTAAAATACCGCTAAATTGACTACAACACTTAAGTAAACGGCAACTTTTATATACCAAAAAGAGTTGCAGTTTACTTAAGAGTTGTTGTCAATTTAACGGTATTCAATTTATTTTATTTGACAACCCTGTATACCATCTATATCCACTTAAGGGAAACTGTACCAAAAGGAAATTTAAGAGGCGTTTGTTCAGCGGTTATTTATTTTTTTATGTGTATATAAAAAGGAGCACTAACCTCATACTGGTTTTTACATGAGGAAATGGAAATGATATCAACACATCAAACTGAAAAAAATATATAAAACATATATTTTATATGAATGCTTAGTTTACTTCCTGTGAAAAAAAAATTGTTTTATTAATACAGACTTTTTAATTATACAGACAATTTCAAATTTATTTATTCAAGTTCTAACCAGCACAGATGTAAGAACTTGCTAGCAGGAAATTGCCATAAAAATTGCTTACAAAAAATGTCTAGGTATATTTTCAGACACATGTTTATGATTTTAAACAGTCACATTTATTTGAAACACAAATCAGCAAATTCCCTACCAAATGCAAGTCTTTCCAATATCATTCAATGAAAAGTGGTCCAGACGAAAACTTACAATATTTTCATATTGTGCTGACTGATAGAACTGTATAGCTGACATCATTGGTACATGGTGGTCCTTGTTTTGGTCTCTGGCCCCTGGATTGCGGTAGTGTATGTAATACAACTGTTGGTGCTGACAGTCCCACTGACACCATACAAACTTCTTAATTATTGGTCTAGTTTCAGGTTGTTTACTCATAACCTTATAAAAAGTAATTATAAATATAAAAATTTTATGAAACTAAACTGTACACATTTCATCAATTCTAAGGATTTGTAGAGCCTATGTCATATTTTCAAGTTTTTTTGTTATTTAGAGAATTTGGTTTTGATGGCAGATCTTTGATAATTTCTGTTTAGTTTCTTCACATTTATTTTTATTCTCAGGATAAAATTGAGAATGGAAATGTGTCAAAGAGACAACAACCTGACCAAAGAGCAAAAAACAGCCAAAGGCCACCAATGGGTCTTCAACACAGCGAGAAAATCCCGCACCCGGAGGCGGGCTACAGCTGGCCCCTAAACAAAAATGTGTACTAGTTCAGTGAAAATGGACGTCATACTAAACTATACTGTCAGGAGCTTGACATATTGTGTGTATGTTTGTTTTTTGTTGAGAACTGTGTTGAAAATAAGTATATTTTGGTTATTTGTGTTGTGGGATTGTTGTCTCATTGGATTTACCAAATATATCCTTTTATCTTTTATTCATAATATATGGTACAAGTGCCTTTTACTATTATGACCATTCAGAGACTTTTAAAATCCAAATTTTCCATTCTGTTTACTACGCAGTTACTAACCCATTGACATTTACCTCTATCAATATAATTGGTTTAGTACATGTATCAGGGGTAAATGTTTTAAATGAACTACATAGCTGTTTTTATTAATCTTGAATTTGTTTTTACACAACAACATCAGAAACATAAGCAAATACCGGTACATGAATAAAAGGAGATGGTTGGGTATACATCTGTTAGACAACAATCAAACAAAACAATAACACCAAAAGACTTCATGAGCTGTTTTTAATTAAGTTGGAATTGTGCCATCCATACTAGCAAAAATTAATATTTTCCATATAAATCTCCTCTTGTAAATGTAGTTGCAGTAATTTTTAAAGTAACGTTGCAAAAATGTTATAAAGGTGTTAAAGAAAATAATTTTTCAAATCATCAATTGTAAATAATCTGCAACAAAATTCATGTAACAAAATTATACTTACAACTCCTCTGTCACCAACTCTACCTAGTGGTATTGTGTATAAACCAATAGCTAAAATGCAATTAGAAAGTCAACTTCATTTCATAAATTTACAAGTAGTTCATAATAATTTAAACTTTACTAGTGTAATTCTTAATATGGTCTACATGAAGTACTTTGAGCAAAGTTTGGTTTTCTGTACTATATTATTCTAATTTCAGTCTATCTTAAACCAGATCATCATTTGCTCCTTGTCATAATAGAGGTGGATGGGATTATGGCTGTAACTAGTGGAACATATGTGTGGTTAACTGTAACACATATTCAAGAAAAGGCAACCAAATCATGATCGAAATCCCAAACTTTTGACAAGAAAGACTTCAACTTTACAATTAAGAACACTTTGTTCACCTTTATACGTCCTTGACCTAACAGCATTATAACAACAATTATTATCTTGGCAAATTATTTTGCCCACTTGAATCTAAATTCAACCTATTAATCAATCAGCATAACAGCAACAGACTGGTCTTTTCATCACAGAAAATTAAAAAACATACAATGTTTGTGAAAATAATTCTGGCATTTTCTTTTTAATAGAAGAGAAAGTCCTATCACATCTGTTGTTTTTGACAAATTCACATTGTTTTATATGTTGCAGTGAATTTGTAGAATTAGGGATTATGTATAATCACTGGTAACTTTAGTGGTTATATATGATTACTAAAATTTTCAGGAATTATGCATAATCACTAGAAAAAATGTCAGGGATTATACATAATAACTGGAATGAAGAGACAATGAATAAAAGTAAAATAATTTATTCTATAAAATCATATTTAAACATCTCAAGTGCAATATTCTAATACAAATCATTTATTTTTACAAACTACATTGTATATTTGGATGATATCTACTATGAGGGTCTGGTCCGAGTACACAGTTATTTCGTAGTGCATTTCTTTTAGACAATAAATGAAAATTAAAAAAATCCCACCTGCGCTTTCTCAATAATATTTTTACAGTGTGTTGTACTACTTTTGGGACAAATTATATCAAAATTATAGAAAACTTCATCGGCTCTAACTCAAAATATGGACAATTTCATGTTAAGGGGGTCTTCAAATCTTTTGACAGCTTCCGAAGTGCTAATTTTTAACATTTTTCAGCTGGACCAAATCACTACTTTACTTTAAAATTCATGACCCAAATTTTTTTACAGTGTCATTTCACCCCCCTACTTACTATTTGAGTCATAAAACATGGAGAAATAAATTTGGAAGGGGTATAAAAAAAATCGACAAGTAACACACTGTCCACACTAGGGACTATATTCGTGGACAACGAAAATCAAAGGACGATAACTGTGTACCCGGACCTAATAGGGTAGAAAAAGTTGACCAATCTTAATGAAACTTGGTATGATCAAAGCTTAATAAATTATAAGACTGCTTAAAAAGTTTCATGGCAATAGGATATATATTATAGACAATATGACTAATTCTATATTCAACTTTGCGTGTTAAATTTAGACGTTAAAATTGGAAATTTTCAACTATCAACATTTGGGGCTTAAAAAATTAAAATATTGCAAAAAAATACTTTTGAAATGCCTTAATTTATTATGCATTATGTATTAAAAGCAATAGAGTACTCATTTGATTTATCAGACTTATCATAATTATTAAAAAGTCAAATTTATATGAGCCTGTGGCTAAAAATGGAGGTTTTCCAATGAAGGGGGGCCTTACATGAAGATGTAATATTTTCCAGCAATTTTAAATTTGTAAAGCTTTTTGGTTATAATTAATCCTTACATATGTATTTAATGTACTTTAAATGGAAAGAAAACTTACAAATAACACATCACATTAGTTTAAAAGGGTCTTAGGCCAAGAAAGACTGAAAATAATTTAGGGTCAATTTAGGCCGTATCACATATTTACATTTAAAAATGCATATTGAAGCTATAGGAAATAAAATTTTGTGTCTTTTCTATCATTTCTATGCTCAGGTGACATGATACAATAAATCTGAGCACAAAAAGACTCTTGCATTCAACTTTTTTTGCAGACAGTATGGTCTGATACAAAGATTTTTCACTTTTTAGTGAAAAACATGCATGCAATTTTAGTCTCAACAGGCTTATATTTGAACCACTTGCTATCCTACAGAAGAAAAGAAAGATATTATGTGACATAAAACAGGTACAAAAGACATTGTTAAGTGCTTTTTATACAAATTTAGTGAGGTCTTTATAATGGACTTCAACTTTTATGTTCCAAGCTCCTCACATTTAACTTGATCCAAACAGGGCGTTAGACGAGGATCATATATACAACACATTTTGCACAAATTGTCCAAGATAATTTTCTTTTCTGTAGATTCAGAGTTCACAAATGAGTAATACAACTGGATTGAAGCATAGAAACACAAATATTGACACATAAAAACCTGTCAGATAGAAAGTCAGAATGCCACTTATACATCAAAATTGAAAAAGCTATGAAATGCTTATTTTGACCATAAAATGCCAAAATTGGTCATTTTTGCAGAAATTCTATCAAATAAAAGTTTAAATCCTTTAGTTTTATGCTATTTGATAAATTGACACCATTAAATCATTCAGGGAAGTTGCCAAAGTACAGATTCTATATTTCCTGATTTCACCTCTTAGGTCCGAGTACACAGTTATTTCGTAGTGCATTTCTTTTAGACAATAAATGAAAATTAAAAAAATCCCACCTGCGCTTTCTCAATAATATTTTTACAGTGTGTTGTACTACTTTTGGGACAAATTATATCAAAATTATAGAAAACTTCATCGGCTCTAACTCAAAATATGGACAATTTCATGTTAAGGGGGTCTTCAAATCTTTTGACAGCTTCCGAAGTGCTAATTTTTAACATTTTTCAGCTGGACCAAATCACTACTTTACTTTAAAATTCATGACCCAAATTTTTTTACAGTGTCATTTCACCCCCCTACTTACTATTTGAGTCATAAAACATGGAGAAATAAATTTGGAAGGGGTATAAAAAAAATCGACAAGTAACACACTGTCCACACTAGGGACTATATTCGTGGACAACGAAAATCAAAGGACGATAACTGTGTACCCGGACCGTCTGAATGGGGTCCCTCAATTCTTTATTCTTTAATCTTTTAGGCCATTTTTCTCTATTCTTTATTTATTTTGCCCATTATTCTCTAGCCTGTATAGTTTAGCACCCTTTTATTCTCTATTCTTATTTTTTTTGTCTATTTTTGTTTTATTCTTTATCTGTTTAAGGTGGTACCCAACACCTTGACTAATATTAATTTGGCTCGTTTAATTTTCATAAAATTTTGACCAAATGTTTACTTTGACCCTTTGACAAAAATATAAAAATTTCAAAAAATTTGAACCAACCACTTTATCAGAAAAATTTCATTGGTTATATAGCAGTTTGACAAACACCAATTTTGATCATTGAGAAGCTTAATATTTCCTTAACAATACAACGTAATTAAAACGTTTAGCTGATTTTTACAGAGTTAACTCCCTGTAGTGTTAGGTACCACCTTAACCTTTTATTTTGCACTGGTTGTCCATTATTCTCTATTCTGTAAACCCCATCAAAACAAAAAAAGCTAAAAAAAAAAAAAAACCTTAGCCTTCACATATTGAATCTGATTTCACTGCACTTTGAAGAGAAATAAAGTGTTCATTAGAAACATCTGAAGGTACCAAAAAGTCAATCAGATACCTAAAATTAATTCCTTGTGTAATATCTGAGCATAATTTCATGCTTTGTAGTCAGTCATTATCCTTTTCAGCCCTTTTATGAAGGATATCCATTATATTTTCGGCATCTCGCTTTCCACGATCAACATAAGGAATCGGTATCACAGCCTCCCCTAAAATTATGTTCAATCTATCAAGCATGTTTGTGTTTCTGGACGTTTTGTTGCATTTCTTTGATTAATTTGAATTCCACGTTTGTTAATTTTCATCCCCTTTGTTTTACAGCAAATTACATGATGTGTGCATTTATGTTGGTATTATTAATTTCAATTTAAAATACTTGTTTGTTTATGAGTTAATATGGTTTAACACAGTTAAATAGAATTTCACCAGCAAAACTGTTTACTTTGATAAGATTTGATAAATGGACAGGGAATGAAAACTGTCCACTTAAGCCATAAAGAGGTTATACATATGATTTATTTGTCTGTATTTGATATATTTTTACCAAACAGAGAATCTTTGTATTATTGATAATCCCTAAAATCATTTCAGGGAGTTTATAGAATAACTCTTAAAATTTTCAGTGATTTTGAAAAATCACAGGTCATTTTAAGGGGTTATATATAATCACTCATGATTTTAGTGATTATGCAAAATCACTGAAAAATAAGGGATTCTACATAATCCCTGATTATAAAAATTCACTGTAACATATATACTTACATTCCTTGTGTAACATGACAATCATATGACATTCCTTGGCTGATGGTTGACTTAAATACAGAAACTGAATCTTTAGGAAGTGTGGACGTTCTAAGTTGAGAGAAAACACTCTGCTATTTGCTGCTCGAATTTCTGCTAAATATGCACTGTATGTTTCTGAAACAAACATTAACAAACATCAAAAGTTCATGGAATTCACAATCCAAGGCATGAAAGCTTATAATCAACCAATTTTCAATTAAACTCAGGATTTGGCAATGACTATGGCAGAAAACAATCTTTATAACTTTTAAAAAAACAAAAAAAACTTCAATGGATAAAATCAAATTGACCTCAAGTTGCTTAAATTGTGATTAAGGTAAATCAGGGGTCTAAATTAAAAATGATAGAACTTTTGTGTGAATAGACAAAAAACAATAGAATTTTAAAATAAAATGAGATGATAGCTCTTATTATGTGCTTTCAAAAATAAAAATAAAAATTTGGTTCACAGGAGCTTGTTTTCTTGCTACAAAAAAAAATAGGTAAATTTACTTTACATTCCTTTATAAAAGTTATATTATTTGAGTTATCTCCCCTGAAATGGACAAGTTGAAAAATAATCAAACACAAGTATTCTGTAATTGTAAAAACTGTAGAAATGATAAGATAATACACACAATTTTCTTCATATAGATGAAAGGTCTTACAAAAGTATTGCATTCCTCTCTCAAACTTTGCATAGTTCAATTAAGTTTTAGATTGATTGTTTTCTGCTATTTTACAATCCAAGATGGTGGAAGACACCTGAGCTACCTTAAATCCAAATGTAATATTTTGACTGGACCTGGACATTTTCCTTGTACAATTAGTGTTTTAAAATTTCAAACTATCTGCAAACAGGAAGTGGCTGCACTGCAGATGCAATAAAATGCTTCGCTGGGGCGCAGCTTGATACGACCGCAGAGGTCGAACCCTGAACAGTTGGGGCAAGTATGGACACAACATTCAAGCTTGATACAGCTCTGAATTTGGATTGTTATTAAATATTTGACACAGCATAGGTTTCTGACACAGAAAGAATGTGGTCTAAGAACTTGAATTTTTTTAATTTACCTATTATGGTCCAATGTCCAAAATCAAAATACATGGTTAGATTCAGCATATCAAAGAACCCCATATATTCAATTTTTGTTAAAATCAAACAAAGTTTAATTTTGGACCCCAACTTGGACAAACTTGAAAACTGGGCCCATAATCAAAAATCTAAACACATGTTTAGATTCAGCATATCAAAGAACCCCAAGAATTCAATTTTTGCTAAAATCAAACTAAGTTTAATTTTGGACCCTTTGGACCTTAATGTAGACCAATTTAAAAAATGGGACTTAAAATTAAAAATTTAAATACACGGTTAGATTTGGAATATCAAAAAACCCCAATAATTCAATTTTTGATGAAATCAAACAAAGTTTAATTTTGGACCCTTTTGACCTCAATATGAACCAATTTGATAGCGGGGCCCACAAATAAAAAATCTAAGTTCATGGTTAGATTCAGCATATCAAAGAACCCCATATATTCAATTTTTGTTGAAATCAAAAAAAATATAATTTTGGACCCCAACTTGGACCAACTTGAAAACTGGGCCCATAATCAAAAATCTAAACAAATGTTTAGATTCAGCATATCAAAGAACCCCAAGAATTCAATTTTTGTTAAAATCAAACTAAGTTTAATTTTGGACCCTTTGGACCTCAATGAAGACCAATTTAAAAAACGGGACCCAAATTAAAAATCTAAAAACACGGTTAGATTTGGCATATCAAAGAACCCCAATAATTCAATTTTCGATGAAATCAAACAAAGTTTAATTTTGGACCCTTTTGACCTCAATATGAACCAATTTGATAGCGGGGCCTACAAATAAAAAATCTAAATACATGGTTAGATTCAGCATATCAAAGAACCTCATATATTCAATTTTTGTTGAAATCAAACAAAGTTTAATTTTGGACCCCAATTTGGACCAACTTGAAAACTGGGCCCATAATCAAAAATCTAAATACATGTTTAGATTCAGCATATCAAAGAACCCCATATATTCAATTTTTGTTGAAATCAAACAAAGTTTAAATACTGGAACCTATCTTGGACCAACTTGAAAACTGGGCCCATAATCAAAAATCTAAACACATGTTTAGATTCAGCAAATCAAAGAACCCCAAGAATTCAATTTTTGTTAAAATCAAACTAAGTTTAATTTGGACCCTTTGGACCTCAATGTAGACCAATTTAAAAAACAGGACCCAAAATTAAAAACCTAAATACACGGTTAGATTTGGAATATCAAAGAACTCCAATAATTCAATTTTAGATGAAATCAAACAAAGTTTAATTTTGGACCCTTTTGACCTCAATATGAACCAATTAGATAACGGGGTCCACAAATAAAAAATCTAAATACATGGTTAGATTCAGCATATCAAAGAACCCCGTATATTCAATTTTTGTTGAAATCAAACAAAGTTTAATTTTGGACCCCAATTTGGACCAACTTGAAAACTGGGCCAAAAATCAAAAATCTAAATACATGTTTAGATTCAGCATATCAAAGAACCTCATATATTCAATTTTACAAAGTTTAATTTTGGACCCTTTGGACATTAATGTAGACCAATTTGAAAACTGGACCCAAAATTAAAAATCTAAATACATTGTTAGATTCGGCATAACAAATAAATAAATGTGATCAAAGATTTTACAAATCTAATGTGCCATACTGTGCAATTAAAGATTACTTCTTGAAATTTTTCAATATTTGAAATTTGAAAAAAAAATAATATTTGAAGAATAATTCTTTTTAATTTCTGAAATCTGAAATGAGAAAAAATTGGCCCCCCACAATTTCTTTTTATCCCCCCCCCCCTTTTTCCCCCAAAAAAATTCTTTCCCTCAAGATATGGTCATAATCTCAATTCAAATTTCCAATGGAGTTGGCAACCATAATTACCCATTTAAATTTACCATAGTGCTAACTTAATCTATTTTATAATAGAATTAATAAAAATATAGTGTCAAATCTTTCATATGGATTTTTTTGTAAAAAAAAAAGATGAAAACATTTGCAGATATTTTTACTGATCTTCCTTTATAAATATGCATTTCTTTAAACATAATTTAAAAGCAGTGTAAGGGAAGTAACCAAAACGTTGTATTTGGATTACCTCCCTTACACTGTTTTAGATTATCTTTATTGTTCATTAACCATTACTTTATACATAATTTAAAAGCAGTGTAAGGGAGATAATTTCAATGATGTATTTGATTTATCTCCCTTACACTGCTTTAAATTATGTTTTGTACTAAAGTATTTGTCCATTAACCAGGACAACCTTGTTTTCCCCCTTTTTTGCCCCTAATTCCTAAACGGTTTGAGCCATAACCCCCCAAAGCAAATCCTAACCATCCCTTTGTGGTATGGAAACTTGTAGTATAATTTCAGAGAGATCCATACACCGTTCCACAGTTATTGTCTGGAAACTAGAAAATGCTCATTTTTGGCCCCTTTTTGGCCCCTAATTCCTTAACTGTTGGTACCATAACCCCCAAAATCAATCCCAACCTTCCTTTTGTGGTATTTAACCTTATGGTCAAATTTCAAAAAGATCCATTCACTTAAACTAAAGTTAGAGTGCGAAAACCAATATGTATTCGGACGACGACGCCGGACGACGACGACGACGACGACGACGACGACGACGACGCCAACGTCATACCAATATACGACAACAAAATTTTTTTGCGGTCGTATAAAAATTGCTATCACGCTACAATTCAACATTATCCAGCTGCAGACTAGACTTAAAAACATTCCCATTTGACGAAAGTACATTGATGAAAGTTTCTACCCAAAGTCCTTCCATGTAGGTGATGCAGGTAATAAAAAGATCAAATAGACAAACCACTCTCTTAAATTTAAAATTATATACAACATTTTGTAAATGTTTCTTTACCTTTGAAAAAATTAATATATTGTAAGACTATGCTATAAACCTTCTAATTTTCTCAAGCAATTTTTTTACATGAGTAGAAAAAATTGTGAATATACTGTAGAAACATTAATTTTTTGTCAGTTTAAAATATCATAGTTTTTACTCTAGATTAGATTTCATAGGGATTATTTTTCGTGGTTTCCAGTGTGTGAAAGTAATTATCTTTAGGTTAAAATTTTGTTGGGGTTTTACATACCTGTCAACTGACCCATATTTTGTGGGTTTGACCCGTGAATTTACCACTCACCCGAGATTCGTCATTACCTGTCTGAGTCATCAAATAACCCGGATTTCATCAAATGACCCGTTTTCACCTGCATTCTAGTGCCATGAGACTTCAATGTCTAAAATGCTAAATTGTCATCCAAAAAATGGCAAATTCGAAATTCTTCCTCGGCAGGAAGGTTGATAATTTGCTCTCAATTGAATGATTTACAGCTATCAGAACATAATTTTGACACTCTTTTGATTGAAAGGTAATAACAATTCGCTAATTATCTCTTTAATTGTACCCCAGAGAGGTTAAAGCCAGTCAAGCTTGACATACAATTGTAGGTCCTGATTTAAAAAATTTGCCATTTGCAAATATCAATTATCCTATTAAAATCATTTTAAAACAATTTGTACCGCTTTATACGTATCTGTTGCAGAGATACAAGTCCTAAACTATTTTTAAACATTCGTTTTTGTTGTCACTTCTGATCCATATGCCAGGTCTACAAATGTGCACAGAATATAAACAACAGTAACTTCTGTTTTCTCTTTATCTTCCTCATGTGTATAGGAGCACATTAGCTATTGCTGATTTCTTATTATAGTTCTTCCTCAAAGCAGGTCATGAACTGCATTTCTATTATTAGAGGTTGACAGGTATGGTTTTAATTTTGTGGAGAATATCTATCCACCAAATAAATGAAATTTAAACACCAACAAAAAATCTGCTTTTACAGTGAATCATAAAAATAAATTGCAGCACAAAGTGGACTAGAAAAAGCTACATGTGAAAAAAGAATCTGTGAAAATAATTTGGTTTACAGTAATAAAAGCCAGTTGAATTAAAATTACCTTTTCCATGTTTCTGTCCTGAGGCACTTGTGTCCTTGGTTACCACAGAAAATGCTGAAAATGGTAATCAAAATATTAATGCATATATGATTAAATGAAAGTAGATTTACTTTATTTCCATTGCAGTTATAAGGACTGCTGCTATATGTGACAATGAGAGAAAAAAGTACTTCATAATCTAGATAAACAGCTTTCATTCCGCCTATGTCAAGTCAGGAATGTCTCATCTCATGATTGACTTTGTCTTATCACTTTGTTTCTCATTTTATTGAAAGTTGCAGAAATAAAATGACCATCTTTTATTTTGAATAGTTACAACGTCTTTTCTGGAGCTTGTAATGAGGTAAAAAAATGGTTAATGATGGAGGTCATAAAACAATTGATGACCTCAAAATATTCACCTTCTTTCCATGTTAGGTGACTGTCTAATTGATGACTACACAAAATTTCCTTAGTCCCACAATACAATTGAAATAAGCAAACCAGCATTTACTTAAGAATGGAATTAAAAGGATTCAAGATCCAATTAAACAGTGCTATTTTGAAACAGAAACAAATAACACAGGTACTCTTTTCTAAAAAAAAAAAGGTTTGTTTAAGTCAACTACTGTAAGAGTTAAATCTGGTTTATGAAATCAAAAAAAAAATAGGTACATCAGTCCATGCCACCTCCTCAGTTGTGCTATCGTTTATCTAGCAGATTGGGGTCGTTTTAGTTTTTCCAGTTTAACTAGAACTTTACAAAACCTTACCAATTAATGATCTGCCTTCATTTACAGAACAGGAAACTACTTTTATTCTTTGAGTGTATGTATACAATAACTACAAGAAAAATACATACAGAAATAAATTTTTAAAAAAGCAATTGGATAAAATGATTTCCTGTTTTTCTCTAAAAAAACACCACTCAGTTAATATTTGAAATATATGATGGTAGGAGCAAAAACTGGCATAATTGAAATTTGCCAAAACAAATTTTAATCAATAGTTTATTTTTAATTTAAAATGTGTTTCAAAACAAGAAAATAATTAAATTGTTGTGAAATCACATTCCTGTTTCATTTCTGTTTGACTGATTGAATTTCAAATCATAAATACATGGATTGTATCTCTCTAGATTTCTCAGATCTGTACTTGGTGTCTTTTTTGTTTTAAGGGATGTATAAATACCCTGCCACATCTGGTCTGTGTTTCTGTTAGATGTTTTTCTGCTTCGTATCGATCTGATCAGTTAAGCCTTTTTCAACTGATTATCATAGTTTGTTCTTACGTTGTACTGTTACACCACTGTCCCAGATTAGGGGAGAGTTGGCGCCTTCAAACATGTTTAACCAAACCACATTCTTTATGTGCCTGTCCCAAGTCAGGAGCCTGTAGTTCAGTGGTTGTCGTTGGTTCTTGTCTGTCATATTTGCTTTTCGTAAATTGTTTTGTTATAAATTAGACTTAGTTTTCTCAGTTGAATTGGTTCGTATTTTTCATGTTGGGGCCTTTTATAGCCAACTATACAGTATGGGTTTTTCTCATTGTTGAAGGCCATACGGTTGCCTTTAATTGCTTACATCCACTTCATTTGAACTTTGGTGGATAGTTGTCTAATTGCCAATCATACCACATCTCTTTTTTTTTATATTGATATTTAAAGATGACCTAGCAATATGCAATATGCCTTGAAGCATTAGATATTTTATAAAAAAAACCTAGATGTGTCGGAACATCACTTATGGCCCAGCTCGTAAAAAAAGCTTGAATCGATTTTTCAGGAATGGAAATTTGAGAATGAAAGTCTGTATAACTGTTATCATCACGAAATTTTCAAAGTCCAAAGCCCATAATTTCAGCACTAATCAGTGGAGGGGAACCAGATGTAAACTCAATCTTGAGGTCATCAAAGTAGACTCACATACTAAAAATTAGTTCAATATGTAAAGGCATTTAGAAAATAAGTCGGTACAACTGTTGATTCCACAAAGCCAGTAATTTCAGCAAAAATCAGCAGAGCAGAACTAAACATAAACTCAATCTGTAACTCATCATAGAAGACTCACATACTAAAAATCAGCTCAATATGTGAAGCATTTAGAAATAAAAGTCTGTATAACTGTTATTTTCACAAAATTTTCAAAGTCCAAATCCCGTAATTTCAGCAAAAATAAGCAGTGGAACTAAATATAACCTTGGTCTGTAACTCATCATAGTATACTCATATATTTTAAATCAGCTAAATATGTGAAGGCATTTGGAAAAAAAGTCCATATAACTGTTTGTTGCGGAATGACGGAATGACAGAACGACGGATTGACGAAATGACGGAATAATGGATAAGGGTAAAACTATATGGCCAGACAACTTTGTTGGGGGCCATAAAAATATGTTCACTGACTTCCAAGTCTTGAGACAGTGCTATTAACAAAGACTGCTGTGGCTTCAAGTATTGTCATCAATATAGACAAATCTCAAGATGTTTTTGATGAATGAGTTACACTGGTTGACCAGTGATCAATAGGCCTAAATGACGTCATTGAACTTACTGTAACGTAATAAAGTAAGCATTGTGATATAGGAAATGTACTGGTAAATGCAGGAATTTGAAAGTTGTCTTTTTACAAATATCACTGAAGAAAATGAATCTAAACTACCAATAAGTAGTGTAAGTACCTGGTATGACTGTTTAGCTGGATCGTACATTCCAATGTGTGTAACAATGTCTACCTACAATAAACAGAAAGAAAATAGTAAAGCCGATTTGAATTGACAGGCTTAGTAAATATCTTTGGGTTTTTCATACAAGGATCACAGTTTGGTTTATTTTGATTCAGTATATAAATTGAATCCCAAACTCCTTTCTGTAACCCCATATGAACCTCATTTCATGTAATTCAGTGTTTGTATCCTATTTTTATTTTGTCATGAAGATGTCACTCTAAGTGGTGAAAGATGTTAACCACAATAAAAGAATTTTCTTGCCAGAACCAGGATATTGTTGTCTTTTAATAGTTTTAATATTTTATTTAGTATAAATTTAATTGGATTGGGCAACATGCCAAGCCTATGTAAGCACTATCCAAAGTATGTTTAAATCATTCAACTTATTTATTATAAACTTGTATTATTGACACAATGATTTTCTATGAAGGAGATATACTTATATATTTCAGTTCACTAAAGATTAGAATATGGACCAGTTCACTATTAAATAGATATTTATTTTTATTCCACATATATAAATGGGAATATTTTACCATTGTACCTGCAGGTGAACTTTTTCTCATACAAAACTTTGTCAGTGGATGGTGCTATCTTTTCAAGTTTTTCTCTTTTTAGAGAATTAACATTTAGGGTAGACTTTCTCTGTTGTAACTTTTCAAAGAAGTCACAACTTTTCTAGACTCAATAAATATATAATTAATAGTTAGTTTTCCATTTGATAAAAGGGTTTTTTGCCTATTGTTGAAGACTGTACAACGACCTTTAGATGTACACTTTATTATAAACCTATATTGTTTACCTCTTGCATAAAAATAAGAAGATGTGGTATAATTGCCAATGAGACAACTCTCCACCAGAGACCAAATGACATAGAAGTTTACAACTATAGGTCACCGTACAGTCTTCAATAATGAGCAAAACCCATACCACAGTCAGCTATAAAAGACCTCGAAATGACAAATGTAAAACAATTCAAACGAGAAACATAACGGCCAGATTTATGTACGAAATAATGAACGAAAAACAAATATGATATACAGCAACAAATGACAACCATTGAATTATAGGCTTCTGACTTGGGACAGACACATATAGAATGTGGCAGGGTTAAACTAGTTTGAAGGGGCCAACCCTCCCCTAACCTGGGACAGTGGTGTAACAGTAACAACACAAGTGAATCTGTGAGATACTGCTCACTAATGATACCCCCACCCCGCTAACAGTATAAGGTAAATAGGAAGTTGTTGAGTGATGAATCTGAAAACGCATTACACTGTATAGCAGACTCATATAAACCCTGAAATCAAATTTCAGAAATCCTTGTAATGTAGTTCCTGAGAAGGATGCGACGAAAAATATTCATGGGACCGACGGACGGACTGACGGATGGATGGATGGACAGACAGAGGTAAAACAGTATACCCCACTTTTTTAAAGCGGGGGTATAATAAGAACAAACTATAAAAATCACTTGAAAAGGGCTTGACTCATCAGATAGATACAAAGCAGAAATCCATTTAACAAAAACACAGACCAGGTGTGGCAGGGTACTTATACATCCCCACAACAAAAAAGACACAAAGTACAGATCTGAGATCACTCGCAGTTACTGACAGCTAGTTCAATGCCAATAACAACTAATAAAAAAGCATACATCTAAGACTAAAATATCAATCAGTACACATCCAACATCCAATGGATTTAGTGTAAAGACGTCATTAACAGTCAGAGAAAAACATGACCTTGTGCAATGCCAAGATACAGGTACATGTAATGACAGATTGTAGAGCAATGGATGTGCATATGTATATAAAAATAATATTTAATTAGATTTTAATTTACTGATAACAAAATCAATATTAATACCAATAAAAAGAATATTCATAGATCTAATTACAGTGTTGACGTGGTAACCATTTAGAATAAGTTTATTTAAAGGATTAATAAGTTTACCCAGATCGTATCTAAATTTCTGGGCTCGGTAAACAACATCTCTGTAAAAATTAGGATGTGCAATCCCGTTTTTTTTTTCTGTATGGGATTTTTACTAGGGATGTCAACCAGTACTCAAGTATCACTCAGTAGCACTGAGTATCGAATACCAAAAGGATACTTGACTTATTTGTTTCCTGTTAGACTGTTGTTGCCTACTTTAAATAAAATTTGATTTTTACTAAGAGCGCCTCTTGTGAAATTAAATAGTAATCTTTGATTTATCAAAATTAAAATACGTTCGAAAAATGTTTGCACTTAATTGTCATTTAAAATTCCTCCTTAAAGAGCTGGGCTATTCACGAGAGCAGCTTTTATAGGCTAACACTTTTGGCTTAACATGTCATAGCCATTTCACCACAGCTGTATCGTCAGAGCAAATACTTGCGTTTGTAGGACTGTCAGTTATGAGGACAAGTTGATAAACAGACTCTGCCCAGAAAAAGTTCACAAGATAATATTTCTAAATAAGAACAAATTCTCTGCACCAAGGGGTGACCCTCAGATAATGGTTAAACACATCAGTAAGTTCTAATCATCACCCCTTAAAAAATGTTAATCATTAAATGTGTTTTCATTACTATAACCAAATACTGTTCTTAGATCTGGTGTCACTATGTAATTCTTTTTCAATAGGTGTTTATTGAATTATTAATTAGATTATTGTTTACATAATTAGTACATGTAGCAAATGAGCTATTAATTGTGGTATAAAATTCCTGAGACTTTTATCTTGTCCTAGATAATAATGTTGAGGGTTTGTGTCCATTAGACAATGACCCACAATACTTAAAATGAGTATAATTTTGTGTTTCCATTTTGTAGATATTTTTTCAAGCAAGTAATCAAGTATAGCTGGGTAAAGCCAATGAGTATCTGATTAGTAATTTTTTACCGAGTTGACATCCCTAATATTTACCAATATGAACATACCTCTGGTTTTGTTTAACAACTGACACTATGTTGTCTCCTTACAATTTATTTTCAAAAAAATATTATTATAGATAAGATATTTTTATGTGTCACAATCATTTGTTATTACATGGTACTTACATGACTTATCAAAGAAAATTTAATAATACAGCTAATTTAAAAGTTTCCCCTCCATTAAATAAAAACCCAAAGTTTCTATGTACTAGGAATCACAAATATTTTATATTTTTCTTAAATACTTTATCAACTGATGATACATACAGCGTCATACAGAACTTTTGTTTTCTAATTTAGAATTAGTCAGTTAACGAGCTCACCAGAGCTCATGTTTTGTCTGTTATTATGTATATATATGCCGACTCTAAAATAAAATTTACTTACGTACTTACTTTGTTGTGCCCTTAAATTAGCAGTTTTTAATTGAAAATGTATGTAATATCAACAAAAATTTGGTGGAGGAAATCAATATAAAATTGATGCTGACTTCAAATTTTCTCTTAGAAAAAGTGATTTTTTAAAACTGAAAATAACTATGACTTACATCAGTTTTCTCAGACACATCATCCCAGGTAAACAGTATACATCCATCTTTTTCTTGATTCAGTATCTTTAAATTCTCTGTATAAGATAAAACATTACTGAATAAGTTTTCTTCTTCTCTTTAAAAAAACATCTTTTGGGACAAGATTTTGAGTTTTCAAGGTAATAGAATAAACATACATTTAGGGTCAGGTGAGCTAAAAAGTTGAATAAGAAGAAAAATGTTGAATAAGAAGAAAAATGTTGAATAAGAAAAAACCAATTGTATAAGAAGAAAACAGTTGAATAAGAAATATAAATGTCCTGTGACATGTATTATTAGCTTCAAAAAAAATCAACCTTAATAGTAATGTGCTACAAAAAATGTGTATTACTATAGAATATCACAAGCGAGTGTTCAATGTACCAGTATTACTTCTTTAAATACACCTCAATATTTATGTACCGTAATATCTTTACTATGTGTGCTTATTTAACAGAATATTCTATGACATCATCTGGCAATGGAAATTTATTTGTCTATAGATGCCTCATTCAAATCTCATAAAGAAAATGTGCTTTCATATTATTTGACAGATAAAAAATTTTGGTGCACATTTGTACTGATAGACTGATCAATCATAGATAAACACTCTTAAAAAAAAAAGTAAACAGAGATAAACACCAATGAAAATATTATTTATTTATAACTATGGCTAAATCGGCAAGATAAAAAACATTTTCAAAGGGTTGCTAAATCTTACTTTACGCAAGGATATTTCTTATACAGCAACATAATGGCTGAACAAGATGAAAAAAATTACCAGTACTTAGGTGCACAAGAACACATCAATCTGCCGTCACATAAGCTTCAGCTTCAGCCTATCTCATGCGTAAGTCATCCAACTTATAATTTGATACTATTTTGTCGTGATTGCAATGGCTTAATCTGTTCAAAATGTTTAACTGATTCTCATCAGTGTCATTCTATGTGTGATATAGATGTAATTCATGATGAAAAGCTTAAAGTTTTAAGCAATCAAGGAGATAAAATTAACAACAAATATTTACCGTTTGTTTTGTCAGAAAAGTGGAAGGTTGAAGAAATGCTTTCCTTGCAAACAGTCAGTTATGAAAGTGATAGGGAGAAAATTATTGAAAAAGATAGGAAACTGAAGGAAGAAATTTCAAAACAGACAAGTTCACTTCTCCGAGAAAAAGAAAAAGAATACTTGACGGCTAAAGATTATATTGACAAAAATATCTCCTTATTAGAAGAAAAAATTAAAGAATTGAAAAGCAGTGCTACTCTCACAGAGGAATATAGAAAAAACAACAATATTAAAAAAGTATGTCATATATCTGATGGAATCCAGAATTATGTTGAAGAATTTGTAATTGAAAGACGTCCATTACCATTCCTAACTTTAACATTTAAAGAAAAAATTGACAATGCTTGTGAATTACAAAACATATTTGGGAAACTTGAGCCAGGCTTTCTTACAAATGCAGACCATGTTGAATTTGCCTCTGAAAAATCAAGTTATACAACAAGTCTTAATCTCGTAGGAAAAGTTTCACCTGGAGAAAACACAATTTGCATAAAAAATACTAAAAAAGCAATTTTACCAGAGATAAAACTAGCAACTGAAATCAATATTGTAGAGGAAGTCAAAGATATACAAATAAGAGATATGGTTGCCTTAAAATCAGGAGAACTACTGCTTATACTGGTAAACAATCCTACCATCAAGATTCTGAAAAAAGGGGAAAAGAAAATGGAGAATTTTTTCAATTTTAACAAATCTTGGCTATATATATATGCAAATGTGTTTCCAACAACAGTACATGTCCTAAATAACAACAGAGTGGTTGTGGGTACAATAGAAGTCAAGGACCAATCAGACGGAGAAATTATATTAGGTCAGGTCGTGGTCCTGACAGAATATGGTCAAAAATATCAGGTTTATGAATTTGATTCGAATAAGGAGGCCCTTTTCACAGTTCCTCATAGAATAGCATCAAATACAAACAGTGATATAATTGTCCTTGATAAGCCACAGAAGAGAAGTAGTAGACTAAGATCACTAGACAATGAAGGAAACATAAAGTGGAATTATACTGGCTATAAATTTCGGAAACAAAAACAATGCTTTGATCCCTGGGATGTAGTAGCTACATCACATGACAGCATAATTACATGTGACTTTTCAAATGAAAACCTGCATATATTGAATTCAAAGGGCAATGTCATAAACTGTATCACGCTAAGACCGCTTGATATTTACCGGCCAGTTAGTATGGCTATATTAGAGAATGGAACATTGCTTATTGGATGTGGGTCAACAACAGATAATGCCAAAATTCATAAACTACAAATAAAATCTAAAGAATGACAATCGTACTGCAACTGATGTACACTGTAAATATTCCCATTTTTTAATTGTACAAACTATTCCATGTTGTTATTTTGTCTTTTCCCTTATATGTCAGTCTATTCAGGAATGCATGTTCTACATTATAGTGAGTGTATAAAAGTTATCTGCAATTAACATATCACTAATGTTTCATTTGCTTTCAGCAATAAAGAGCCAGATATCTACCATGAGTATCCAATAAAAAATGTACAGTACATAATGGTTTATCATTTATACATATTTGTTTACCTGTAGCTTGGTGAAATTCTTACTTTTAACTTGGGCTTTATTTTAAAAAATAATACATGGCTTACAGAAAACAAGAGGCTCCTAAAGAGCCTGAATAGTTCACCTGGAATTTTTTGTGTAGATCTTGCATCAATGATTATTTTGCAGTTAATGTAAATTAATGTATGTTTAAACATGTCATTTGTAGTTTCTCTCTATCTATCATAGTTTCTGCAAAAAGCTAAAAAAATTGGTAAAAATCATCTTTTAAGGGTAATAATTCTTTTTATTAACTCATTAATATAAGGGGTTAATTTACCAATTTGGTTGTTAGACTTATTTGTAGGTCTTACTTTGCAGAACATTTGTGTCTTTTTAAAGATTTTCTCTATCATAGTTATTGTGAAAACTAAAAACTAGAGGCTCTAAAGAGCCTGTGTCCCTCACCTTGGTCTATGTGCATATCAAACAAAGGACACTCTCCAACATTGTAGAGGAGAATAGACTTCATGACAAAAATCTCTATTTTGTTGATCTTGTATTACTGATATTTTAGTCTGTTTAGTTTCTATCTATCTTCTTTAGTTTTTGCTCAAAACACAAAAGAGGGTAAAAAAAAATCCTCATTTAAGGGCAATCACTCCTATGAAGAGTGACAGTCTACTAACTATATCGGCAAAATTAGACTTTTTAATACATCTTGCCTTGCTGATCATTTATGTGATTTAATGTGTTTATTTATCTATTACAATTTAAATCAAATAAGGCATAACGGAAAAAAAATGTTTCTCTCTAAATATCATAGTTTTCATGGTAAAAGGCAAAAATAAAAAAAATGGTAAAATTTGTCATTTGTGGGCAATAACCCCTATAAGAATTTTTCTTACAGTTTTGACATATATGGACAATTGGTAGAGCTCATTATTCTGAAATTTTTTGCCCCTTTCAGATTTTCTCTATTTATAACGGTTCAAAAAATAATAGACAAAACTTGCATTTTACCCCTATGTTCTATAGCCATGTCAGCCATGTTGGTTGGTAGGCGGGGTATTCGGACACAATTTTTAAATAAGATATCCTAATGATGATTGTGGCCAAGTTTGCTTAAATTCGTTTCAGTAGTTTCTGAGGAGAAGATTTTTGTAAAAGATTACAAAAATTTACAAAAAATTGTTAAAAATTGACTATAAAGGGCAATAACTCCTTAAGGGGTCAATTTACCATTTTGGTCAAGTTGACTTATTTGTAGATCTTACTTTGCTGAACATTATTGCTGTTTACAGTTTATCTCTATCTGTAATAATATTCAAGATAATAACCAACAAGAGGCTGTCGTTTGACAGCAAACCAGATTTTCCTGCAGAGGTCGAACCCTGAACAGTTGACCAAGTATGGACACAACATTTAAGCTTAAAACAGCTCTGAATTTGGATTGTGATTGAATATTTAAAATAGATTATTATCTAATTAATAATGAAAAAGATATTTGCAAATCTGAAACCCCCAAACAGGATCATGTAAAAAACATTAACACACACAACAAAAATAAAATACCACATAACAACTGTGACATCTACCTTCATAACACACATGACTTAAAAAAATAGTTATAAAGAAATTTTGACAACTAATGACTAAAATTAATTGAACAGAATCCATATACTTATGTTATCATTACTGGTTCTTGGAATAAGTTTGAGTTATTTCCCTTTGAACAGAAATGGTTTAACTAATAAAGCAAACATAGTTCTCTAAAATTAGATATGATGTTACATAATGTATATATATTTTCAAATTATAATCAAATATAATTAATAGTTCCAAATATTTTTTCTTTCATTTGTCACAAACTAATATAGATCTGCAACTTATCTATCAATGTCAACAACTTTATCTACACAATGTAATGTAATGAAATATATCCTTTAATAAAAATAGATTATTATCTAATTAAAGGAGTTCACTTCATCAAAAAAAAAATTATATATAGCATTCAGAAAATTAGTTTATACAGAAAAACAAACAAGCCTACCACAAAATTCTTCAAACAATTTACCAAAGAAAAGAAAAAAAAATCCAAAATGTCATTTATCATTATAAATACAATGTCTTTTGAAAATCTTTTACATTTTTCCATTTGAACAGAAATGGAGCAATTAATAAGTATTGCATCGAAAGATTGAATTCTTGGGAAAGGGCTATAACTCAACGAGAAAAGCTAAAATCGTGAAAATTGCACTTGACCTTCATTTAGTCACAGGAAACAACATATCTAAATTTAAAAAAATTTCGTCAAAGCGTTTTTATGTTAATGAATGGACACTGTTTGGCAGCTGCCCGCCCGCCCTCAGTACATCCCCAAATTAATAAACCAATTTTTCCTTCGAAAATCCGGTTAAAAACTGCAAAATTTCCTTAAAAATACTAATTCAGGGGCAGCAACCCAACTACAGG